AGGCTGACGTCACATGGCATTGTTTCGCCGAAGGATCTTGCAACAAAATTCCAAAAATTACGTCATCGGGTATTGTGACGTGATTGCAAACTTTGAGGTGCAAGGCCCCGTTCCACAAGGCGAACGTACTGTAGCGCAACGACAGTCGTTGGTCTAAGTTAGAGTCTGTGAGTTGCGATAACCTTAACGCTACGATAATTTTGTGGAACGGACGCCTGAATTCTAGAGGTGGAACGTTGTATGGTATTAAATTCATACGTTTCAACTTTTGACGTGTTTGAAGTATTATTCTGTTAAACTCAATTGGACTATGTCATGGATCGTGTAGGTGTCAGCCTATTCATACTCATCAGTATAGTTCTAAAATCGTTATAAATGGCAAGTAATAAATAAAATACTAAACTCGCTCCCGTGTAAAACCAATTTTATGAAACTCGTGAATAGTTGTGGTATCTGACTCGTTTCATAAAATTGGTATTACACGGGAGCTCGTTTAGTATTCTATATATCCGTTGGGGTCATATGCGGATAGAGATGCAAATATCAAAGGTCCAGTAGGGACTACTTTCACTGTTTATAAACAAACATGGCGTCGCCCTCGTCATTCGGCGATCGTATCAGATTTAACCATCGGGAATCTGGATAAACTACAGAGATAATTGCTTTCATTATCAAAAGAACAGTCTAATATCCTGAAAATCAGTGTCTTACTGTGACGTAGCTAAGGCATTTTATAAGTTTTGGCAACTTTGGATATAAAAATGTCGACACAATTTTGCGAGGGCACGAGGCCTAGCCAAGCGGGATCAGTAGCCATATCTGTGCTTGAACCTTTCTCCACAAATTAAAATAGTTGGATTCAGCCGAAATATATCTGAATTGTTACCCTGTTTCGTTATGTCGTTGTGTGTATATCTGACTACACTTCTTAACGTTATGACAGGACAGACCGACTGTCAACAACGTCTGACCGTGGCCGTGACGTATCATAGACTAGGGTTAGAGTAGCTTCCCTTTGAAAAGGACAGTTACTCTAGCAGACAGACCGATGGATTGCCGCGAAAGGCAATTAAAAACAATTGTTGTTTTGCGTATATGTTGCTTCGCCACTGTATAACAAAGAGATTTCAGTTGGAACTATATTGGCTACTGTCACTGTCCGACTGTCACATCACTTACCCTGTGACGTAATAGATATTAATTCGCGCATTCCAGGAAAACTCGCAATTTTTCGGTCATGTTTGTGAGAGAGGTAAAGCGATTTTGAAGCTCAGAATTAAAGAATGACATTATATGATAAAGATGTTATCACGCTTGTGTGTTTGGGGATGTTAAATATCCTGTATGAGGAACAAACACTATGTATTTAGCTCGCCAAGGCTCTATTTATTTTAACAACCAAATCAACATGTTATCATGCGCACATAATTGTTTTTTTAGAAAGTGGGAATGACCACCCCCAGAATTCTATAGGTAGTTAGTAATAGTTACAATCCGAGACTGAGTCTAATAACCTTTGAAGGGTCGCCTATATGATGTGGGACTGAATAAAGACACGTAGGCTGAATATAAATGTGTTGTTTGTCAGTTTCCCCATTCATTATACATGAGCTGCTGCCACTGAGTATCAGTATCTTTTGTAAACTACGGTTATAACGAACTCAGAGGGGACTACTAATTTTAGTTCGTTATAACCGTAGTTCGTTATAAGTACTAGTACATATACAGCATGACCACAGCAAAGAGTCGGGACCAAAAAGTAAGTTCGTTATATCCGTCAGTTCGTTATAAGCGTGTTCGTTATAACCGTAGTTTACTGTACCTCTGTTTCTGATATGTGCATCTTGACCTCATATTCCTTATTAGGGACCGTTCCCACAAAGCTATTTTTGCGCCATCTTCAGTCTATGTTACGGTACATGTATAGGAGTTAGGATCATCTTCGCGATAAGATGGGCCCTCTATGAATAGGCCCTGGTTTCTAAAGAGCCTGTCACACAGTCACGATCTATCAGGGAGAACCCCGCACGACCCAAACAATTTGCAAGACGGGACGAGGTCTTTACGCAATCTATGAACGTGGAGCTCCTATCAGGGACGTGTAAGGAATGTTATAGAACTTAAGGCCAGGTTCACACAGTGCCGACTATGGCTCCCGTTTGAGATCAGACAGCGCTATGACACGAACAGTTAAAAAGTCGGATTGTCCTATCATTGTCTGAACGCAGTCGTATACGTTCGTAACAGAGTCCTTAGGATCGGAAAAGGTTCAGAGATTTCGGCCAAGCACTCCCGACAGTATTGTGCGTCAAGTAACATTCGGGAAACTCCGATTTTGTGTAGTCGGATTGCAATCGTGACTATGTACTGTGTTGTCTGGACGGTGTCCAGTGGATCGGGACGTTGTCGTGATGAACGGGCATGAATTGTTCATTGCCGTTTCTTGTCGATTGAGTCCAGATTGCGTCCAGGTCTTGCCGAAAGCGAACCGTCTTTGTCGGTTCACTGTCCGGTTACTGTCTGATCTCTGTCGGATCCCATTCGGGAGAATCGGGACGCTGTCGGGACAGGTTCGGTCTTTTTTCACCATGCGGAAGATACAAATCGGATCAGATTCGGATTGAGAATGGGACAATCGGGAGCGTTTCGGCTGGAAACGCTGAATCGGGAGGCTTCCTGAACAAAATTTGTAAATTTCCCACCATGAATCACAGGATCTTGATCAGTTTTTTGACACATTTTAATCGGGAATGGATTATCAAGGACGGCAGTAAAATTCCTGAATGTATGACTGAGCCCTAAAAGGCACTGGAAGTTCCTGACAGAACGACACACTTCGCCGATTGTTTTGGACATCGGCATGGTCGTGCGATCAAACCAACACGGAGACGCACTACCTTGTCGTGTGTAGGACGTACCGACAGCATCGGTGTGAGAACTCCATGCACGGATCGACATCGGAACTGTACGAGCCTCGCACGTCTATGTACGATTTTCGCACATCTACGTAGTTCCTACTACGACCTCAGCAGGACGCTAGCATGTCCGTCTCCCGTCTTGTCCCGTCATCAGCCGTCCTTGCCAAGTCCTTCCCGAGTCTGCCGACGTCCACACTGAGATGCCCGCAAGACTGTGTAGTCGCTAATTCAGCTGGTCCGCTCCCCCGTACCCGCAAAGTTGCCGGCAGGTCCTGACCACGACCACGTACAGTGGGGGTATACATACCTGCTGAGCTAGCCAGAGTCCTTCATTCCAAGCCTGTTCGACCATGGCTGCTGCTGAGCTAGCCAGAGTCCTTCATTCCAAGCCTGTTCAACCATGGCTGCTGCTGAGCTAGTCAGAGTCCTTCATTCCAAGCCTGTTCGACCATGGCTGCTGCTGAGCTAGTCAGAGTCCTTCATTCCAAGCCTGTTCGACCATGGCTGCTGCTGAGCTAGTCAGAGTCCTTCAGTCCAAGCCTGTTCGACCATGGCTGCTGCTGAGCTAGTCAGTGTCCTTCAGTCCAAGCCTGTTTGACCATGGCTGCTGCTGAGCTAGTCAGTGTCCTTCAGTCCAAGCCTGTTCGACCATGGCTGCTGCTGAGCTAGTCAGAGTCCTTCATTCCAAGCCTGTTCGACCTTGGCTGCTGCTGAGCTAGTCAGAGTCCTTCAGTCCAAGCCTGTTCGACCATGGCTGCTGCTGAGCTAGTCAGTGTCCTTCAGTCCAAGCCTGTTCGACCATGGCTGCTGCTGAGCTAGTCAGAGTCCTTCAGTCCAAGCCTGTTCGACCATGGCTGCTGCTGAGCTAGTCAGAGTCCTTCATTCCAAGCCTGTTCGACCATGGCTGCTGCTGAGCTAGTCAGAGTCCTTCATTCCAAGCCTGTTCGACCATGGCTGCTGCTGAGCTAGTCAGAGTCCTTCAGTCCAAGCCTGTTCGACCATGGCTGCTGCTGAGCTAGTCAGAGTCCTTCATTCCAAGCCTGTTCGACCATGGCTGCTGCTGAGCTAGTCAGTGTCCTTCAGTCCAAGCCTGTTCAACCATGGCTGCTGCTGAGCTAGCCAGAGTCCTTCAGTCCAAGCCTGTTCAACCATAGCTGCTGCTGAGAGATTGAGGGTCCTTCACAGAATTAGATGATGCAGTGAATGATCTTGTCATTGAGAACTTTGCCATTGATTAGAAGTAGAAGGATTAGGAGGAGAGGATTGATATAAAGGCCGTGGTCACAAAGAAGGGAACGTTAACGAAGGGCGTACGGACAACGCGCCATGTGTGTGTGTGTGAGTTGGGTTTAACGCCGCTTTTAACAGTATTCCAGTTATATCGCGGCGTGTCAGCTTAATGTGGGAGGAAAGCCCGAAGTGATGCAGGTCTCAGACGTTTACCACTTCGGTGAAACCCACGAGCACGGGAATGGTGCTGACAAACCTAGAAACATAATCGGGGCGAACCGGGATTCGAACCCACAATCATAGGTTTCTTGCGTGCCCAAGGGACGCAACTCTGCACAGCGAATCGCGGCGCCTTAGACGACTGGGCTACTCGTGCCCCCCACAACGCGCCATGACACGAGATCACTTGACTCTTACTCAGGTTCACCAATCACTGTATAAAGATCACCCAAACACTCACTAAAGTAAAGCTCGTGGGCATATGTTCTAACGCTTGAGATGTGTGTGATGACATTATTTTCTCTAAAGTAACAAAACATTCTTGCACATTTTAGTCCATTGATTCTAATGTAGTGAGTAAATGAGTGATTTATGAGAGTGACATTGACATTGACATCATCATCTTAACAAGAAAAGTCAAATGTTAGTGGAGAAATTGTCACAAACACTATGCAGAATAACGCTTTAAAATGAGTGAGTGATATTAGCAATATTTCAGCCATAATGTGACTTGAACAAGTTATACAATATTTCTATAAACTGTCGACGAAGGACGGTATAATAACAACGTTTTAAAGAAACTATATGTTGATACAATGACTTGTTTCAATTAATAGGTATCTCACAAAGGACGTGACTGATGTTCATCTCAAGACATACCTTCAGCTTAATCCGAGGGGATTCCCGGTAAGAATATAGGTCCCGAGCAATCTGTGCTTGTCTCTCGTGAGGATTCCCGGTAAGATTATAGGTCCACAGCAACCTATGCTTGTTTCCCGTGGAGATTCCTTCGAATATCGGTCCCCAGGCAACCTTTGCTTGTCTCCCGTGGGGATTCCCGGTAAGAATATACTTCCCCAGCAACGTATGCTTATCTCCTGTGGGGATGCCAGTGAGAATATAGATCCCCAGCAACCTATGTTTGTCTCCCATGGGGATTCTCGGTAAGAATATAGGTCCCCAGAATCCTTTGCTTGTCTCCCGTGGGGATTCCCAGTAAGAATACAGGTCTCAGTAAAGCTATGCGTGTCTCCTGCGGGTGAGGTGAGGTGAGGTGAAATGGGGTTTAACGTCGCGTCCAAGATTATTGCACTTATATAGCGACGTGCGTGTACGTGTGTGTGTTTGTGTTGCTGCTTGTACTAGTCCGGACTGATGCCGATTTATAGTGCTAGCTCACTGAGATACCATGCCGCAGTTCAACATGAATACTCCACTCAGACACAGTATAATGGCTCCGAGCCGACCAGTCCTTGTTTTAGCCCCTTAATGGAGAGCGCAATACTGGGTAACAACAAGTACTATCTTTTATCGTCTTTTGGTATGACGCGGTCGGGGATCGAACCCCGGACCTTCCGCTCTCGTCTCCTTTGGGAATTCCCAGTATGGTCCCCAGCAACCTATGGGTGTCTCCTGTGGGGATTCCTGGTATGACTATAGGTCCCCAGCAACCTATGGGTGTCTCCTGTGGGGATTCCCGGTATGACTATAGGTCCCCAGCAACCTATGGGTGTCTCCTGTGGGGATTTCCGGTATGACTATAGGTCCCCAGCAACCTATGCTTGTCTCCTGTGGGAATTCCCGGTATGACTATAGGTCTCCATCAACCTATGGGTGTCTCCTGTGGGGATTCCCGGTATGACTATAGGTCCCAAGCAACCTATGGATGTCTCCTGTGGGGATTCCCGGTATGACTATAGGTCCCCAGCAACCTATGGATGTCTCCTGTGGGGATTCTCGGTATGACTATAGGTCCCCAGCAACCTATGCGTGTCTCCTGTGGGAATTCCCGGTATGACTATAGGTCCCCATCAACCTATGCATGTCTCCTGTGGGGATTCCCGGTATGACTATAGGTCCCCAGCAACCTATGGGTGTATCCTGTGGGAATTTACGGTATGACTATAGGTCCCCAGCAACCTATGCGTGTTTCTGTGGGAATTCCCGGTATGACTATAGGTCCCCAGCAACCTATGCGTGTCTCCTGTGGGAATTCCCGGTATGACTATAGGTCCCCAGCAACCTATGCGTGTCTCCTGTGGGGATTCCTGGTATGACTATAGGTCCCCAGCAACCTATGGGTGTATCCTGTGGGAATTTACGGTATGACTATAGGTCCCCAGCAACCTATGCGTCTCTCCTGTGGGGATTCCCGGTATAACTAAAGGTCCCAAGCAACCTATGCGTGTTTCCTGTGGGGATTCCCGGTATGACTATAGGTCCCCAGCAACCTATGCGTCTCTCCTGTGGGGATTCCCGGTATAACTAAAGGTCCCAAGCAACCTATGCGTGTTTCCTGTGGGGATTCCCGGTATGACTATAGGTCCCAAGCAACCTATGTGTGTCTCCTGTGTGGATTCTCGGTATAACTATAGGTCCCCAGCAACCTATGCGTGTCTCCTGTGGGAATTCCCAGTATGACTATAGGTCCCAAGAAACCTATGCGTGTCTCCTGTTGGAATTCCCGTTTAAACTATAGGTCCCCAGCAACCTATACGTGTCTCCTTTGTCTCCCGTGGGGATTCCCAGTATAACTATAGGTCCCCAGCAACCTATGCGTCTCTCCTGTGGGGATTCCCGGTATAACTAAAGGTCCCAAGCAACCTATGTGTGTCTCCTGTGTGGATTCCCGTTTAAACTATAGGTCCCCAGCAACCTATACGTGTCTCCTTTGTCTCCCGTGGGGATTCCCAGTATAACTATAGGTCCCCAGCAACCTATGCGTGTCTCCTGTGGTGATTCCTACGAATATCGGTCACCAGGCAACCTATGCTTGTCTCCCGAGGGGAATGACAGTGAGGACATAGGTCCCAAGCAATCTATGCTTGTCTCGTGGGGATCCCCAGTACGAATAAGTCCGCAGCAACCTATGCGTGTCTCCCGTGAGGATTCCCAGAAAGAATGTAGATCCCCAGCAAGCTATGTTTGTCTCGTGGGGATCCCCAGTACGAATAAGTCCGCAAGAAACCTATGCATGTCTCCCGTGGGGATTCCCAGTAAGAATATAGGTCCCCAGCAACCTATGCGTGTATCCTGTGGGAATTTACGGTATGACTATAGGTCCCCAGCAACCTATGCGTCTCTCCTGTGGGGATTCCCGGTATAACTAAAGGTCCCAAGCAACCTATGCGTGTTTCCTGTGGGGATTCCCGGTATGACTATAGGTCCCCAGCAACCTATGCGTCTCTCCTGTGGGGATTCCCGGTATAACTAAAGGTCCCAAGCAACCTATGCGTGTTTCCTGTGGGGATTCCCGGTATGACTATAGGTCCCAAGCAACCTATGTGTGTCTCCTGTGTGGATTCTCGGTATAACTATAGGTCCCCAGCAACCTATGCGTGTCTCCTGTGGGAATTCCCAGTATGACTATAGGTCCCAAGAAACCTATGCGTGTCTCCTGTTGGAATTCCCGTTTAAACTATAGGTCCCCAGCAACCTATACGTGTCTCCTTTGTCTCCCGTGGGGATTCCCAGTATAACTATAGGTCCCCAGCAACCTATGCGTCTCTCCTGTGGGGATTCCCGGTATAACTAAAGGTCCCAAGCAACCTATGCGTGTTTCCTGTGGGGATTCTCGGTATAACTATAGGTCCCCAGCAACCTATGCGTGTCTCCTGTGGGAATTCCCAGTATGACTATAGGTCCCAAGAAACCTATGCGTGTCTCCTGTTGGGATTCCCGTTTAAACTATAGGTCCCCAGCAACCTATACGTGTCTCCTTTGTCTCCCGTGGGGATTCCCAGTATAACTATAGGTCCCCAGCAACCTATGCGTGTCTCCTGTGGTGATTCCTACGAATATCGGTCACCAGGCAACCTATGCTTGTCTCCCGAGGGGAATGACAGTGAGGACATAGGTCCCAAGCAATCTATGCTTGTCTCGTGGGGATCCCCAGTACGAATAAGTCCGCAGCAACCTATGCGTGTCTCCCGTGAGGATTCCCAGAAAGAATGTAGATCCCCAGCAAGCTATGTTTGTCTCGTGGGGATCCCCAGTACGAATAAGTCCGCAAGAAACCTATGCATGTCTCCCGTGGGGATTCCCAGTAAGAATATAGGTCCCCAGCAACCTATGCGTGTCTCTTACGTGGGGATTCATGGTAAGAATACCGGTCCCCAGCAACCTATACGTGTCTCTTATGTGGGGATTCATGGTAAGAATACCGGTCCCCAGCAACCTATACGTGTCTCTTACGTGGGGATTCATGGTAAGAATACCGGTCCCCAGCAACCTATACGTGTCTCTTACGTGGGGATTCATGGTAAGAATACCGGTCCCCAGCAACCTATACGTGTCTCTTATGTGGGGATTCATGGTAAGAATACCGGTCCCCAGCAACCTATACGTGTCTCTTATGTGGGGATTCATGGTAAGAATACCGGTCCCCAGCAACCTATACGTGTCTCTTATGTGGGGATTCATGGTAAGAATACAGGTCCCCAGCAACCTATACGTGTCTCTTATGTGGGGATTCCCGGTAAGAATAAAGGATCCCCCGCAACCTATGCGCGTCTCCTGTGTGGATTCCCTGTAAGAATACGGGTCCCCAGCAACCTCTGCTTGTCTCTTACGTAGGGATTCATGGTAAGAATATAGGTCCCCAGCAACCTATGCGTGTCTGTTACGTAGGGATTCATGGTAAGAATATAGGTCCTCAGCAACCTATACGTGTCTCTGACGTAGTGATTCATGGTAAGAATATAGGTTCCCAGCAACCTATTCGTGTCTCTTACGTAGGGATTCATGGTAAGAATATAGATCCCCAGCAACCTATACGTGTCTCTTGTGTGGGGATTCATGGTAAGAATACAGGTCATCAGCATCCAATGCTTGTCTTTTATGTGGGGATGCATGGTAAGAATATGGGTCCCCACCACCTATGCATGTATCTAGTGGGGATCCCAAATAAGAATATAGGTCCCCATCTTCCTATACTTGTCTCCCATGTGTATGCTCGGCAAGAATGTAGGTCCCTAGAAACCTATGCATGTTTCCCGTGGGGAATCGCGGTAAGAATATAGGTCCCCAGCAACCTATTCTGGTCGTAAGAGGAGACGAAATGGATCGTGTTGTCAGGCTCGGCGATTTTTGTTGATTGTTTTTCATCTATCCCAACTGCGTGTATCGATGCTGGTGCTGTTAATCACTGGAGTGTCTGGTCCAGACCTGATTTCTCATAGACAGCTGTCATATATCAGGAACATTGATATGTGCGGCGTTAAAACAAAATTAAAATCAATAACTATGTGTTCTGATTAAAGGAGCAACAGTTTTGAAAACTTTACTTTGAAGAACATTATATATAATATACCTTCACTTATTCTTATGAAATGGTTTTATGACGTTCTTATTCCAAACTCATATGCTATTTTCACTTATATTTCGAAACTTATGCACAGTGAATGCTGCGCTATACAAATGCATGTATTATTAATGTTTACAGACATGAATAGGTTTTCTACGAAAGGCGACAGGTTTTGTTACCTGGTCGACCAACTGAAATGCCCAAGCAGCGAAGAAAATCGTGTGGAACATTTCGCTGAGTTGTCCACACTTATTCCCTTCGTGAAAGGTATGTGTAAGTCTATATAAGCTTAATTTGGGCGGTAGTTGGACCGTGTAGTAGATTATGCTCCAAGTATCATCTAACTCCACCAGATGTGGAATTAAGTTTGATTGGTAAGTGAATTTCGTGTTTGAAATTACAGATTAGACAAAATTCGCAACTTCACAAAAATATTCATATCAAAGAAACCACTGAATTTTATAAGTAAGTAATAATTCTGGCTTGCTTTTGCACTGTAAATATTCCATTAACCACATCAGAGTAACTGGAGTAGATATGCATTATATGCACAATTAGCATACATATATAACTGCTTAACTGCTTTTCCACCAAGAGGTTCAAATGTTCCATATTTTCAGTTGCAAGAAAATACTTGTCTAAAGATACGGATATTCCAAGTTCAGGCGTCTTCTGGTCACGTGTTTTAAAGCGCTTAGCTAAGCACAATGAGTGGAATGCAATGCACAGATTGTTGCTAGGTCCGAAGGATGGACCGAAGTCACCAATTGACCGCATAGCCGAAAGCTCTCCAACATTGGATATATCGATCTCTGGTTTACTGAGATCATTGTCAGATACTGAACTATACCAGTGGGGTATTAGGCTGGCCATTTGTCTTTTGAAGAGAGGTGCGGCTTTAGAGAGTATTGTTACTGATTTCTTGGAACCCGTACCGGTTGTGGCGGTCAATATGGCTATCAAGACAGGTAGGTATTAAATAACCGAACCACATTCTTAAAAATGTCCCCTATTATATTTTGGTGTTCAGTACAAAACACGACAAACCTCTGGCTGAAGTTTTTTCGTAAGCCAGGTGCTGATGATCGAGGATCACAACGTCATTGTTGATATTATAATACACGCAAGTTCGAGTTGCTCAGTGACCATTTGATCATATCTTAAATATATGCTGAAACGGTTAATTATTTCCCAATATGACCTTTAATTTTCTTATAAAATTTGCATTTAACTCGTACATAGAATTCATTCACAATAACAGAGCTGTTTCCGTTTTATTTGAACTGTAACATACAACTACAATGCTGTATTAGGATTATATATCTAGAAAACGTAAAATACGACTTAGTGGAGAGAAATTGATATTCTCATTCTCAATCTTATATGAAAGGATTTTTTATTACATGTACATATTACATAACTAAGTTGAAATTAGAAGAAGGAGATGTTCGTGTTATCTGAAGAAGAAGAGTAATTTGAAATAATGTACCCTTACATCATTACGAAAATAGTTAGTAACAATGTATCTATTAACTGAAATATACTCCTCAATAACGTATCATCAAAGTTATTTAGTAACAGTGTATCTCATGCGTGCCGATACAATCATACCACAACATTGACATGTTTAACTCAAACAGGTAACAATGAGCTATTTAAGTATGTGACTGGAACAAGCAACACAGTGCGACTGCAGATCGACAACAAAGACAGAAATGGGGACTCACCACTACTCATTCTATTGAAGTCTGGGAAGACTAACACACCAAGTGGAGAAGCTTTGTATAACCTATTGATGAAATATGGGGCGTCTGTAAACATTCGAGATGCGAGTGGAAAACAACCGATCGATTATGTGGAGCCTGGGACACGAATTTATGATGACCTGAGGAATGGAGCCAATAGTTATAAAAGAGGTAATGATATTATTTTTATATCATTTCATTAGTAAGAGAAATCATCTCAGTATGCGGTTAAGCACTTTGTTTAGCATATATTATGTCTTGTTTGTTATGATAATTGAGTGAGTGAGTGAATATGGTTTTACGCCGCTTTTAGCAATAAACCAGCAATATCATGGCGGGGGACACCAGAAATGGGCTTCACACATTGTACCCATGTCGGGAATCGAACCCGGGTCTTCGGCGTGACGAGCGAACGCTTTAACCACTAGGCTACCCGACCGCCCCTATGATAACTGAAACACGTTGTTACCTTTAAGTGTAATATTAAGTAAGGTCTGTTCCTGAAAGGGCCCGGAGAGCGGAAGATCCGGGGTTCGATCCCCGACCGCGTCATACCAAAAGACGTTAAAAGATGGTACTTGTTGTTACCCTTTTCTGGCGCTCGGCATTAAGGGGCTAAAACAAGGACTGGTCGGCTCGGAGTCAGTATACTGTGTCTGAGTGGGGTATTCATGTTAAACTGCGGCATGGTATCTCAGTGAGCTAGCACTATAAATCGGCATCAGTCCGGACTAGTACAAGCAGCCACACAAACACACACACGTACTTCCACGTCGCTATATAAGTGCAATAATCTTGGACGCGACGTTAAACCCCATTTCACCTCACCTCACCTGAAAGGGCATGTGTAATTATTCAGTGTTACGGGTAGATAAGGCTCGAAGAAATCAAGACCACTGTAGCATAAAGCACTTTGTTTGTTTCTTGTTTATATCAATCTAGCAGTTCACGTATTTGCATGGTTACAAAATCACACATGGAAGTTACAACATCAGGGACCGTGAAGCAGAGGTCCAATGTGTTGTGTGTTTCTGAACACCTCCTTGGCCTAATGGAAAGAGCATCTACCCAGAGAGCGGAAGTCGGTGGTTTGATCCCCTGGCCGCGTCATACTTAAAGACGTTCAAATATGGTACTTGTTGTTACCCTATCTGACGCTCGGCATTAAGGGGATACAACAAGGGATGGTCGGCTCGGGGTCAGTATGCTGTTTCTGGAAGGTTGACCATGTTAATACTGAGGCATTGTATCTCAGGGGCTAGCACAGTATAGAACTGGTATGGGTCCGAACTAGTACAAACAGACACACACAGACAAACACACACATACACACACGCACATATGCAATTCCATGCACGTGGTTATATAAGTGCAGTAATCTTGAACGAGACGTTAAACTTCATTTCACCTCACAAACTTACAAACATGTGTTTCAACATTAGCATCCACTGATAATATACGAGCACATCTGACAGGTGTTCTGTTTCTTAAATGTTTTAAATGATCCGAAACCTTCTGTACCTCCAACCGTTTATATAATATTTGTAATACTACAACTATATACTAAAACAACACACAGAATGTACCTATATGACTGTAGCCCTTTTGAAATGTATTTGCACTTTTCAGAACAAATGCTAAGAACTAGAATGGATTACATGACGAAGAAAGCTGACACGGACGAACAGCAGCGACATTATGAATCCAGTCTCAAGTGGTTCGAAAATGCTATAGCTTTAGCGGAGGATATCACTGATGTAAGCCAAGAGGTTGATATTCTACACCGTCGATGTGCTGGAATCAACTTCCTCCTTGGAAAATATGACGATGCCATTAGATCGGCAGAAGCTTCTATTGCCCTGAATGCTTCTCAGTACAAGGTATACGGCCAAACTCTTCAACGCAGTTAATGAATAAATAACTTGATAAATCTTTATGAAAGTCATTAAATTGGACTTCAGAAATGCATTTATTTGTGGATGTGTTATTTTTTGGTCTCGGACGAATAATCTACGTATGTATATTTCCATAATTGACGCATCAGGTACCAACATGATGTAAACGCCATTATATAGCTGGTATATTGCTGAGTGCGGCGTTAAACAATAAACAAACAAACCAACATGATGTCAATTCCCTACAACTGACTAACTTTTGCGTGTGTTTCTCACGGGTTCCGCCGGTGGGGAAGGATATGCCTACCTTCTCGCGAACACCTTGTATCATCACTATTGGATAGTATTCATAAACACGTGCTTATGACATAGTGGGAATCATACAATGGACTCTGCCTTTAGAAGAGATTTCATTTGCGTGATCGGGTACAAACTATTCTAATGTCATACCTATGTAAGTGTAACTCATGTGTCCTTTTATTTAGGTACTTCAATAAAGAATGTTTATTGGCACAACCAACAATGATTTACTATTACTTTTTTTTCAAGCTCACCGCCAGTTGCGTATGGTAGCTTATCACCTTAATCAGTATAAAACTTTTACAGGGCTACATTGAAAAAGGACTTGCACAGAATAAGTTGCACATGTCAGATGCAACAAAAACATTCAGCCATGCAGTCCTCATGATAACAACATGCATGAAACAATCATTTGGAGGTAAGGCATTTATCGCTCATGATTAAAACGACATAATGAGAACAAAGCTACACTCTTAACAATTTGTAAATGAGGTCGAATAGCTTCAGGTCAATGAACATGTTTACCGTACTTGTGCGTGCGTGGTCTGTATGCGTGCGTGTGTGGTCTGTATGCGTGCGTGCGTGCGTGCGTGTATTAATCGAATGTTACATGTTTCAGAAACACGTGAAGACCTAACGCGTAAAATGAAGTTTGTAGACGATTTGCGATGCTACATGTCAAGAGTCATCGAGGAACTTGTCCGTTCATCTTCTTGGAACATTGTTAAGATAATTGTCATGGGCGAAGGATATGTTCAAGTCAAGAGCCGTCCTCATAAAAACGTAAAGGAGTTTATACAAACAATTTCAACGAATGTTCACTTTACCGAATTCAGTGCAGTTTCTATTGACCTGGCGCCGATTGTCATGGCCCCAAGATCAGATCCAAAATCAGCCTGGTTGGATGAGCTGGCTTTGTTGTTAATAGTGAAAGGTGCTTCGTTGGAATCAATGGCACCATCATCCAATGACACCACTTTGCATGCGGCTGTTAGGCTTTGTGTTAAATCAGGTGAGATGTAATTATAGGACATTTTAAGGATTAGTAGTCAGAAACATAATATTATGGTATCTTTAAACAACATGTGGGTCAGCATATTTTTCTGTTTAACATTTCTTTGATTTTCTCATATATGATACGATTTAAAAAGCGACACTGTGTCAGCTCGGTGGGTCGATAAACTTTAACGTTCTATCTCATAGTTATACAGACTGACTTTTGATATGTTTTACCATTTGAGAAAAGACATATACATTCAAATATTGTGTTATACATATTTAATGTGACAAACGCTTCGTCTATATTATGTGATTTTAAAAATAAGTTTTCCATCAAAATAACATATTTCAGTAAATTAATTGCTCTCTCTCTCTGTCTCTTTCTCTCAAAGTTTTGAAATTTAAAAAAAATAGAATCATAAGATGATTATACTCTCTGAGAAGATAACACCTTTTCAGTTACACAAGAAAGAAATGCACAATGGGAAAAGGTGTTTATTAAACCTAAATACTGTTGTATTGTAGGTAGTTCATGGGTTCTAAAGTATCTCCTGGAGAATCATGAGGACATGACGGAAATACGTGGCATCCAAGACAGATCCGGTCGAACCCTATACCACACGATCTGCGAGACATGTGGCGCAAAAGACGCCGAAACTGGGCTTGAGCTCACAAATCTACTTTTGCACTACAAATTTGATCATGCTTTGGAAGACAAACGAAACCGGACGCCTACTGACATCAGAACAACTCCTAAACCTATTTACGATCTGCTCAAACAGAAATTGACAGGTGCTTACATACAACATGTTTAGGTCTTTCTGAATGGTGACGGGTGCACCGTTGGAGCAGCATGCGCCCATCTTTTCGCGAACACGTGGTATCATCAATCTTTGATCTTTATGAAGTGATTCATAAACACATACTTATGATATAGTCGGAATCGTACCATGGACTCTGCTTAATGTCTTATAATGATGTAAAGGTGAGTGAGTCAGTTGGGTTGAACGCCGCTTTTAACAATATTCCAGTTATATAGCGGCGTGTCAGCTTAATGTGGAAGGAAAGCAGGTCTCAGACGTTGACCACTTTGGTGAAACCCACGAGCACGGGTAGATACATAATCGGGGCGAACCGGGATTCGAACCAACAATCATAGGTTTCTGGCGTGCCCAAGGGACGCAACTCCGCACAGCGAATCGCGGCGCCTTAGACGACTGGGCCACCCGTGCCCCCTGATGATGTAAAGTTTCTCTGCCTTTCATTTAGGTCTGTATAACGGTTGCACGGAACTGCTACCCGAAAGAGATCTTCCACTCGTTTATAGCACTGAAGTAGGAGGCGCAGGTTAGAAATGACACAAGGTTCAGGAATGCTGGTTTGAAACAACGATCTTCTCACCAGCTTCCGTTTTCAAAAACTCCCTTTAAAAGCATAAACTTTATTTTAAAATTCCAGATCCCAAATGTATGGAGGAATGTGCTCGCCGACAGCTCCAAATGTTTAATTACCAAGCAGCTATTTGGACATTCACCCAAACTATTGATCTCGTTGAGGCTAAATCATCAGCTGGTGGAGTCCGCTTGGCTACTCTTAAGGCTAAATCATCAGCTGGTGCAGTCCACTTGGCTACTCTTAAGGCTAAATCATCAGCTGGTGCAGTCCACTTAGCTACTCTCTACAGCGAAAGAGCACATTGTCGGCTGCAGTGTGGAGAAGGAAAACAGGCTCTGAAGGACTGCATGCAAAGTTTGGAATTACACAGACTGCCACAGGTAATAATCTAAATGTTACAGAAGTGAAGTCCACAGAATTAACATCAGGACGAAAGGTCTCAGCAAACATTTTATAATGACAACATATTACTCTTTGGTGGAATTAAGATTTATACACCACGACCTAGCGCGCGAAACTGAGAAATCAAGCATTTTTCAACAAAATGAACAGCTATGTGTCATAGTTGTGTCAAATGTCAAGATAACCTTAAAGGTAATTCACATATTTCCTGTATGCAGTTTCAAAAAGAGCATTGGTAATATAGTATGGAGACTTCATATTTGTAACACCAACATGCATATAATTCGAAAGCGTGAAGGTCAGCTTGAGTATTTGGCATATTTATACTGTTTTTGGCATGATTAGTAACAAACCATATTATGTCATTAATCTAGAAGAACATCTAACCTTCATATAAATGTACCTGGAGGATATATATTTACTCTTTTGTAGTTGAACAGGATTCAGGATCAAAGTTAAACTGTCCCCTAGTTTGGTACTCGTAGAATACAAAAAGGGTCATGATACCTTTATCTTTAAGAATTTTGGAGCATGCAGGAAAATGTAGTGAAGGGGCTACTTCCGTTTTTGGGTACAGACGCCTTTCTTATTTAGTGCATTTGTCATCTGTAACATTTAAGAAACGCGAATACCAGAAATAGCTTCGATGTTGAAAAAGGCAAAATGATTTGAAATGGAATAAGCCAATTTTATTAACAAACGTGTTCTTCCATTGTTGGTGAAGTATGTGCATTGTTACTAAATGCAATGGGAAGTCGAGCCCCGGGTCTTCGGCGTGGCGAGCGAACGCTTTAAACACTTATATATTAATTTCAACATTCGATTGTAATATGGCATTCATACGAATTATGCGATTATTTTTCATAAGGTATCAAACACCTTGTTTACTTACAGACGCACGATCAAGTAATAACAGCACTCGGGAAACTGATGGTAAACGAATACTCTCTGAATACAATGGTGGATACATTCACGGAATTGGAATGCATGGGACATGAGACACAGCAAGGCATACTTTCGGTCATTTTGAGAACATCATTGTCAGTTGCAAGTGAGAAAGTGTTAATTTTCGTAAAGGGGCCACCGGCCCATTGTACAGTGCATGTGACAGTATCTTTAAACGATGCGCCATACAATCACATGGGCATTGACGAAACATCCACACCTTTTTTAGAGCTAAAACCGCATATCGGCCAAGCAATTGATACCATATTTACTGTTTGATAACATTAATTGTTAAGACATTGTGCTATTGGTATTTTAAAAATAGTGTACCTAGCAAGAAGGTTGTTACTTATGTCATTAGGAAACAGTCATTCCATACAAAAGTGATATTCTGACTCAGTTATTGGAACAATACAAAATGGACATAATCTGTCATTACGGACTTAACCCATCTTTCTTCCTTCTTCAATTAATAGTTTAAGATTAGAACAACGGAATTTACACAATGCAATACGATAGGGTGGCAATGTAACCATCATCAAATAATTCTCAAATGTCTCTTCGGACTACGAACTACCACTACGCAAGTGGTAAGTTGAAATATTCTATTCCTTCCGGGAGTTCGAAGTCAACACCTTTCAGCTATTTTGTTATTGTCAGTGCAACATGGACACTTGGGTGTAGCTAAGTTTGTTTCCCTGTGTGTTCTATCGACAGATACCAAATCTATGATAAGACTGGACTGTGTGAAAGAAGAAGTGTGGGCTATGACAGCTTACTCTTTACTTCTAAAATCAGACTGGGATACCGCATATCGGGCGTATCAATTCTTCCTTGACAACCGAAGTTTTTTGGGATGTGGTAAACAGCTCAACGTAGTCTTGCAACCTTTGTGTAACAAAGAATGGTTGTCCAAATACCCTTGGATAGAGACCCTAATGCTGTTTTTCTTAAGAAATGGAAGTGATTGTGAAACACTCAGCATGGCGGCTGGCGACACGTATTTGCATGCTGCTGTTGCTATTGCTTTCCTAACAAGTAAGGATTTACTCTGATATAATCACTAATGACACTGATTTGAATATAAGTATTTGATTTGTATAACTTGCACTACAATATACATTATAAATATTTGATTTTATATGGATATTAGTACAAAGAAATCAACAAAAGGAAAGATTTACTTGTTAAACGATTGATTAATCCATTAAATAGAAGATGTATATGGATGCCTATTATATAAGTCATACTTTATCATTTCTTATGTATCATGGAGGGCCTCTCCTTGTTCATGTAGGAAACATGAGTGTATGTACATGCAAAAACAGATTTGAAATTTCCAGACTAATTTAATGATAGCTACCAGGTTAATCATGTTGATTTGTTTTCAGGAAAGTTGAACATACTTAACTGGATGCTTGAAACCATTGTGCCATCACAAGGAGTGGATACCATCACAGATAGTTCTGGGAGAACCATTTTCGACATGAATGAATATCTGATTAGCCCTCAGTTGCATCTTTACCTTGAACAATTTCGGGCTTCCACACCTTCACTATTTCGGAGGATCTACCAAACAGGTATTATACTGGAAGGATTCATACCCAGTCTCCGAATGTGTGAGTAATATGATAAAAGAGTTAGACATGGTAATTCAGTGTACAATGTGTACAAGTACTGTGGAGGATATCACTGTTGCACTATACATGTTGTATATGAATTGGGGCCTTTGCTTTCATTTATTTTTATTTTTCAGTGTCATCATTGCTTTCGACTGTTTTTAGTAGATTTCGCGAAGAAGAGCACCACAGTGATGATGGTGTATTTCACTCAAAACAACTGCTATTGGACGAGGAATCTAAAGCAGTTGAATGTCAAAATGACCAACAATACAACTATGCGTGTGACCTTGTAGAACTAGGACACGTCAATAAGGCAGTGGCAGTATTTGTAGAGGTACTTCTGAAGAGAGACACACATGACAAGAAACATCTCACTGAAATGTGCCTGAATGGAATAGCCAACCATGCCTCAGTACAAGGTAATCAAACAAGCAAACAACTTGATACTAAATTCACCACATTAAACCCCAAAATGGGTGTTTCGCCTGTTAAACTTAGGGTTGACTTTTAGGGCCTTAGGGGGCACGGGTGGCCCAGTCGTCTAAGGCGCCGCGATTCGCTGTGCAGAGTTGCGTCCCTTGGGCACGCCAGAAACCTATGATTGTGGGTTCGAATCCCGGTTCGCCCCGATTATGTTTCTAGGTTTGTCAGCACCATACCCGTGCTCGTGGGTTTCATCAAAGTGGTAAACGTCTGAGACCTGCATCACTAAAGGCTTTCCTCTCACATTAGGCTGACACGCCGCGACATAACTAGAATACTGTTAAAAGGGGCGTTAAACCCAACTCACTCACTCACTTTAGAGCCTCAATCGCGGTCTTGTGGTAGAAATGTATTGGCGCTTCAGTTACAAACTTTGATGGCCAGAAGTTTTAAGGGTTGTGACCACATTGATTTGAAAACAGTATTGTCACAATGTTTCCATGAATGCCTAATTCACTCATTTTTTGTGTTTGGTTTAGTTCAGTGTTTCTGTTTATGCCTTTAGAGATCACGTGTATTGACAAGTCTGTTCTTGAAACCTTCACAAGTAAATTTAGTGCTGAGGAAAAACATAATTGAAATATTTATGTTGTTTTTTTCCAATTCAGATTTTCCCCAAACGATTAATGGCCTAAACATCAAAGAAGTGTTAGGGCTGCTCAAAATGTTTGTAGAGAGGGGAAAGTGGTACCAGTTTGAAAGGCTGGTTTTCTCCTATGGTGAACACAAACATGGACGAAAAATGGCCCAAAACATATCTGTTTTGGCACTTATTCAGTGTAAGCTTTTTGACGGGTTTGAATCAAACAGACTTAGGATTCTGAAGATTTTTTTGGACCATGAAGCAAACATTGACAAATGTGACGTCGCTATTGAATCAGCTCTAGAAAAGAAGGAGTTTCGAGTTTTCTTCGCCCTTGTCCACCATGCAAGTCGCTCTTCCTTCATGATTACTACTGGTGGAGCAGCAGCTCTCGTGTTTTTACGTACAGGTACATCGTAGAGGTGGTTCTTATATAATGAGAGTCATCAAAGTTAAAAAGAGTTGTGTTTTTTTCGAGGGTTTGAGTATATATTGTACTCAGGTATAAACGCTTAACACTTAATAGTTCACAGGTTCATTTTGTTCAATCGTTATCAAAACATTTACCTCTGAGCGACTGTGAAAACAATTACTAGTTAGGTTTTTAGATAATATCTCTAGACTTCCATATAACCCGCGGGCTCCAAATATTTATTTAAAAGCATCATACATTATCTTTTAGCTTCGAAATATTTGTTTGACACCACGTCGTTTCTAACCAATGTGTAACTTCCCTTTTAAACTCGAAAACATATTTTTAACCTAACTTCATATCAAATGAAACTTGCAAACACTTGTTCTTGAAAAGACATGCATGCACATACATATGTTCAAATGTTTCTCGTCATTCTGGCATTTTTAGATATTGTGCAGAATAATTTTACACGAAAGTTAATAACTAAGGGTGCAGTGACAGTGAATATTTAGGGAACTGGTTTTCAGTTTGTGATGTTAAAAACGCACAAGAATTCATTGTGCAAGCATCCAATAAAGACACATCAGGTATATAATTTATCAGGTGTATTGGATACAGAGTCATCCATAGTCTATTTCAGAACATCACAGATGTACAGCTTTCTTAACTGCTGATACTAAATGAGCATCACAATAATGTTGCCATGTAAGCAAATATTTAAGCGATTGCTCTTGGTAACTGAGGTTATAAATATAAAACCAGCTGCATAACAGATCTACACTATTTCCGTCTTCTTGTTCCTATATGGAATAAGTACAATAACATTCCGGAGGAATTTCATAATTTCCCTTTGTTGATATACTTGTGGTAAAACCATAACTACCTCCAAGCCTATATTGGTCATTGCTGTTATATAGAGGATGACACTAGATACATGCAATTTATCTCCCTTCAATCCATGTTTATCGTTAGAGGAGACTAAATGGATCGGGTGTTCAGGCTCGGTGACTTGGTTGATACATGGGCCTACCTTTAGAATACAGTACCACAAACTTTTCAAACACGTGATCATACCCTATGACGTAATTTGTAGTATTTTGTTGCCAGTCACACCGGCGAAACAATGCATGACCTGTGACATCAGGGGTCATCGAGTGTGCATAAGCTCCTCCCAGTGAGCTATCATCTCTGCACGCGATGTCATTGAATACGCCCTGCGGTGTTGAGAGTTTTGAGTATTTGTTTACTAATTATAGCCTGCGACGGCGCATTTTAGAGCAAGCATTAGTTTCAAGCACTTTTATCTTTTATATATTTTTTATTTCGTTTTTCTCGTAATTCAAGTGGATAAAATGGTTATAAATGGGAACAAATAGACATATATTATTTTTTCGGTTCATTAATTTTATTATTATGCACAAGAATGCAGTTTATTAGAGATGTTATATTGGCGCTGAACACATCCAAATGTCGCCAGAGTTAGGGTAGGTTACCCCGAACTTTACGATCATTAGGGTTAGGTACTCGTTTAGTGGCTATTATAGATTATATAACGGCTCCTAATATTCTTCACACAAAAACGTCGAGTAAAAAGGATGAAATGGTTTTGTGTCGAATATTTTGGCAACTGGAAACTGTCCTGGAACATTCACACAAGCCACTTTCACCGGCTACATTTTTTCAGTACCGATTCAAAAGCGAACTGACCGTTGTGTCGTCACTAGTCATGCTAATTCCTCCCTCGTTCCTTACTGTTATCCACATCATCCTTACAGTGTTCCCTACCTCACTTTTCTGTCACAAGAATCACCCGACGAATTATTAAATACCATATCATTCATGCGTACTCGCGAGTTCGACGTCTGACGTCTGACGCCTGGAGCCGTTTTCATTTCGCGGCATATCGGCTCATTTCTCTCCACTCGGTATCTTGTACATTACGGAATGGGACGAGTGTGCCAAATGGCATCGGGATCATTCGTAAGTGTCCGTAGACTAAAGTCACGAGACACCATTCCTACCCGTAACCTTCGTAAGTGTCCGTCATCTATTCGACCCTTTTCGTTCAGTTCCGTAACGCCATAGGCATGACTAGGTAAATTTGCACTAAGTTTAACAGTGTGGACGTAGCTCAGTCGGTTAGCTGTCGGGCTAACAATCCAAAGGTCGCCGGTTCGCGTCCGACGGATTCTCGTATAAACTGGTTGCTTGTCTTGAGACATGTGACCTACGGCAGAGATCGTCCTCACGAGAAGTTGTGGTACTGTATTCTAAAGGTGCTCCGTGTATAGGTACATAGGTAATATGTTTATGTACAAAGGACATATGATGAATTTCTTTGCGTGCATATTTAAAATGCTTTTTACACCCAATTAAAATACTGAATACTGAAACATTCGTTTGATAATATCTAAGTTATATTCTGTGTGTTTGTAACTTGATATGTTTCCCCTAGGACACAGTGGTCTGGTGGACTTTCTGAATTTGTGCACTGGTTACCCATCATCCTCTCTATACATATCCCCCGAGAAAGCAACGTCAATTCGAAGAAACATCGAAGACGCTGTGTATTCAGTGAAAGCTGATGAATTCATCGCACATGTAAAGAACTACAGGACTCAAAAGAGCACTATATCTTATTCTGGTACAAGTCATCACCAGGGACCATCAAAACGAGATCACGCCGGATCTGTTCAAAGAGTGCAGCCTAAACAACAGCAAACAACCATTGCAGTAGAAACAAACTTAAGTGATGAAAGAATCTTAATAGAGAGAATGCTTCAGAAAATACCAAGTTATCATGAACAAAGTACCATCATCTCAACATATAGAGAAGTGAAGGTGACCGGGGATGCGGACACTAGGGACGTGTCGGGGGCGGAGGAGATGGGTGACATACCGAATTTTGAAGGATTGGCCTGGGAGGTTGAATGCAGTTCTTGTGTTTGGAAACTGTTCAAACACAGGCCCTATTATCTGAAAAAGAAATTCATTCTTGTAATTCACAAACTTGCATTGGGACAATGGGATCCACCACTAAGGAAGGTGATCAAAGGTGTCAGGTCGGTGGAAATATATGAGGCTGAGTTTTCAAAGGATGCACGAGTGATTTGGAAAATTGGCATTTCAAGAATGAAGGACACTCCATTATATACACAGGTCATTAGTATATTGGACATAGTATTTGATCATGACAACCTTAGAAGAGCCATTGACAAAGTGGCGGAAGCTCACCGAAAAGGACAGGAGTGCCAATGGACAAAGACGTTGAAGGGAATCAAGCACCAACAGTTTCTAGGGAAGAGGTCTGAAACTTACAGAGAACCAGTGTTATATAAGGAAGAAAAGCAGGCAATAGATGCTTCTACTTCTGAACTGACACAACTTTATCCGCTGGTGGATGGAAGTGAAACTGTATTTCATATCTACCGGTTTCATTCTTTCACCACATCGATGGCAAAGTGTATAATTCAGGACAATTATACAGCCCAGTTTCCCTTTAAGCTCAATGATGAAGAGCATGTGATTATCAACTCTAAACCTTATGAACCCATACTGCTTTTGGGGAGAAGTGGAACAGGGAAAACAACTTGCTGTCTTTACCGATTGTGGCAGAATTTCTGTTCCCAATGGAACACTGGTAATGAGACAGATGAACTGTCCTTAACAAAAACAGATATGCTTCAGACTTCCATCAGAGAAAACACGGAACGCCCTTCGAGTCCTAGTTGTGGACAATGTGGTAAGTATATCTCGTGAAGTGAGTTTAGAAATACACTTTTGTACTTTCCTTATTTCTTCCATAGTAAATGCCCTATGTCAATCCTATAAAAGATGTATACATTCAGTTGTTCTTTTCATCATAGGATCTAAACGACCAGGTCATCTTCATCAGATATTTGTGACAAAGAACCATGTTCTATGTGCAGAGATCAAGAAACAATTTACAGAACTGTATCATGGACAGAATAATACAATGCCCCATGGAAGTCATAATTGTGGACCACTTCCCTCAAAATTGAAAGTTGTCACTGATGTTAGTTTCCCTCTCTTCCTTACTTCGAAGCAACTGCTGTTGATGCTGGATGCCTCCCTCGACCCACCTCATTTCTTTGAAAGAAACGAAGATGGAAGTCTACGGGAGAACATAGAAGGTTGGAAAGATGAAGTTGATGTGTTGGACGACACTGTTGTTGACGATCATATAAGGCTAAACATGCAAACCATTCAAGATTTATTACATTTGAAGTATTTGAAAGGAAAATCTGGCCAAAAATTTCTCAAACGTCATGTTTGAAAATGCAACCGTCTCTTGTGTGGTCAGAGATTCTTTCCTTAATCAAGGGATCATTTGAAGCTATGTCAAAACTGGATGGACATCTTACATTAGAAGAATATATTGATATTGGGAGGAAGAAATCGCCGTTTTTTAGTGGAGAGAGGGATGTTATATATGCCATTTATATGAAATACAAACGTTTCATTAGAAAAGAAGCTATGTTTGATGAGGCAGATGTAGTGTTTGACATTTATAAGAGATGCAAGGCTGAACTTGACATGCCCTGGACCATACATCAATTGTATGTGGATGAAACACAGGATTTTACCCAAGCAGAGCTGCTGCTTCTGATGAGTATTTCTCAAAACCCAAATGATATATTTCTCACAGGTGATACAGCACAGTGTATAATGAGAGGCATTGCATTTCGGTTCTGTGACATTCAGGCATGTTTTCATCATGTCAGAGAATGTTCTTCAGCTGAGGCAAAAAGCCAGATGAATGTGCCAAAAATTCAAAAACTAGTTTTCAACTACAGGTCCCATAGTGGAATACTCTCTCTTGCATCTTCTGTCTTGGACATTATGACAGAATATTTTAAAGAATCCTTTGATAGCTTGGAAAAGGATGTTGGATTGTTCCATGGAAAACGTCCTCTTCTGCTAGAATGTTGCTCCTCACAAGATTTGGAAATGTTTCTCAAGGTATTTCAAGAGAGTATAAGAATTTTCTCTATTTTAGAATTTCGCTGAAGTATTGGAATGCACATAAGGTAGCAGCATGTGTATACTTTACAAGATGGGTATACCACAAGATAAATGTATAATATTATGTATTGTTACATACTTAATTGTATAATTGCTTAAGTAAACAAAGTATATCATATGAATGAAGTCACCAATTGTGCAGTGTAAAAAGGCAGTTTTAATTTTATACAAATCTTTTATCAAGAAAATATATATTAGTTGTTTTTTTAATTATTGGATACCTATTTAGAATTGTTATTAACAGGAACCCATTAAAATCACAAGACAACATGGTCAATTAACATCGTATGTTGTATGTCAATGTCATACATATATGCTGTTTACATTTTATGCAAACAGGAATCTAGAGAATCTAAAGACACAGGACAAGGATCTATTATATTTGGATCCCATCAAGCCATTCTGGTTGCAAATCAGGAGGCCAAGGCCACTTTACCGACGGTATTCAAAGAAAATGCTAATGTCCTGACTATCTGTGAATGTAAAGGCCTTGAGTTTGATGACGTCTTATTGTACAACTTCTTCAAGGATTCACAGGTACAGTAAATGTAAAACCTGACACAAGACAATATTTTCTCATGTACTATCATAATCATTTCTATATAATACCAATGCCGTTTTTCTTCTCACAATGATGCATGATATGGCCAGCGTATTTGTCAATCCCATGCCAATTAGATATACATTGTACTTGCTTTACCTTACATTTCGTTACTGAAATGAATATAAATAAGAGGACCAATGTACGTGTGTGTGGAAAGTAGAATAAGAAAAAAGCTACATGGGTCACAAGATTCAGCTTGCAATTATTAAACTATCTGCGTGTTGTAGTAAAAGTAATTAATTATACCAAATACGACAAGGGTAGCCGTTGTCATCAAATCATGTATGAGTTTATTACGTTTTGTCTTGTGTATTTCACAGGTGACAAAGGAGTGGAGGGTTGTAACTTCTTTCCAGAACAGCCTTGGGCTATATTCCACAGGTACATTTTATCATCATTACGTTATCGAAAGGTAAATATTAGTAAATTACATATAAAGTCAAGTGCTACCAATATTTCCAAATGATATGGCACGATCGTTTCGCATACTGATCCATGTTCTTGTAAATATTAATATTCCATGTTTCAATGTATTGCAATAGTTCATTTATCTCATCTAGCTTGTTTCTTGCTTTACTCAGGAAATGACCTACGTGCGTTGGAGTTTGATACATTAAAACACAAACTTTTGAACTCGGAGCTCAAGTATCTTTACACAGCTTTGACCAGAGCCCGGTGTAATTTGTGGATCTATGATGAGGATACGGATAAACGAGCTCCTATGTTTGAATACTTTAAGGCCAGGAAACTTGTCAGAGGGTCGGAGAAATCCAGTGACACTTTTGGTCAGTATTTATGCATCTGTGTAGAATATAAAATAGCATGCAGTGTTGTCATTATACATACTGAAGACATCTGGTATATGCTAAACGTATTTTGTAACATAATTACCTGGTCGAACGCAACTCGTTGCTTTGTGTCACAATCGGCAACTGATTATAGTTCAATGAATTTATCACATCCTATTTAATCTTTGTAGAAGAAGATGGTCTGGAATTTGCTAAAGCATCTAATGCTGAAGACTGGGTCCAGCAAGGAGACACATTCATGACACATCGTTTATATATGGATGCTGCAAAGTGTTACAGAAGAGCTGGCGACGATGATAAAAGACTTTCTGCAATAGCTTACAACAAAGCCGTGATAGCAATGACAAAAAGCGATGAAGCGAAACGGAAAAGCTACTTTCTATCAGCAGCAGCTGATTTTCTGAAGTGTAATAAAATAACTAAATCAGGTACCTGTTTGCGGTATGCAGACGAATATGTACTTTCTGGGCTTGCCTATGAAAAGAATGGAGAGGTAAGTGTTTTGTTTTGTTTTCTGAATGAAGGTATAAAAATCGTTAGTCTTGCACCAGTGGGAACTAGTCCTTGACCATTTCTGTGTGTATATCGGTTCTAATGGTTAGTGTGATCATATAGTGATGCTCTTAGTCGTTAAAGAGGTCGGGGTCATATTCGAAATTTGCATTTTGCAGCCAGCGTCACTAATCTTGGGTAAACCAACCTCTATTGGCCAGAAATGCACGAATTCTTCGAGGCAGTTTGACTTATGATTCATTGAGAGTGGTGGGTGAGTTTTGACGTTGACGAACACGTCTGCCAAAGAAGTCCCAGGCGTGTTCAATGGAGGAAACTGAGTGTTGGCCATAGCATGACATGGATGTTTTGCTGCTGCAGGAATTGGGTTACAATCCTGACATGATAAGCATGTGCATTATCATTAAAGATGAAACGTTGCCCAACACGTTGTTCAAATGGCACCACACCTGGCGCAATACTGTTGCCCCGATATTATTGACCTGTGAATCTGCCATGGACAATAAGGAGCGCAGTTCGGCCAGTCATTGTAATACCACTCTATTCCATTGTGGACTCCATTAAAATGTTTTTAATAAAGGGGCTTTTGAGCGTTTGATTCAAAGAAAACAATATGATTCTGCTCACAACCGAGTCGAGGTGACAATGGTAAAGCTGGCATATAACCCCTTGCTCGAACTGCCCGATCACACGTGCTACATGACTGTCATAATGCTGTATTTGAGACCTTGGTTTCCTCGGAAATGTTCTTGCCACATAAATAGCTTACTTTTATTGCCAGACATTGGTGTATTTTCCAGTAGTTTCATCTAAAAATAAATAATATCACCTACTTCCTTTCCGGGCATATTACATAAATAAATAGTATGGTTGAGGGGAATACTACACCGATCATGATATATTAATGTAATTATCACTACACGTCCATTGAATAATCCACCCTATTGCTTGCCAGTCATAAAACCATTGTGATGACATTGTTGTTGCAGCTTATTCTGAGCCATGAATTCACTGACTGTTCTGAAAGCGCATATTAACAAGTACAATTTACGAAACTATTTATTTATCATAGTATGCAGATCTGCGAAATTATCTATCAACCATTACATGGTTTAAGTCAGTAAAATCAATCGAATCGTTGGAGCTTGTTGCTTCTGGGACCGGAATCAACAGATTCACATGGTTTTATCCAATACGTAAAGTGATAAATGATTGATACATGAACACAATATGCTTGTGAAATGTTTTTATGAATAATGGTTGCAGTGTGTAGACATGCTATGGTTGTTGTATGGCAACAAATACCATTTGAGGGTTCAAGAGTACTTCATTTGTTTCAGTATGCAGCTGCAGCCAGGATGTACCGACAGGGTGGAGACTATGAAGCTGAAAGACGCTGCCGTGACCTGAAGAGATGTTTTCAGAATCCTTGAAACGTGCAGTCAACGTCGGTGGAACTTGAGTACAAACTTAAGTAAATCTTGCTCAAATGAGAAAACAACTACTTTTGTGTTGTCGTGGCAACGTGGAAGTCACTTGCTGTAAGGTGGTTACACGAGACATTTTGTCATAATACACAATACTGCAGATGTATCATTGCACAATCAGATGTATAAATTAGTGTGTGTGTGTGTGTTTTGTCACTACGGTAGTTATAACATTGTAAATTTGTGTATCACTGGTGTTGAGATACTAATATGTATTTGTTCGTTTAAGAGTCGTTTTCAGACAAGACACTAACAGCGAGCATATGGGAGACAAGAAAGGAAATGTACAGTTTCTGATCGTTTGAGTTATATATGAGTGATTGCGCTCTTTGCGTTATTTATAAAACATGAGATTTTATCGGTTAATGGTTCACCTATATGATTATTTTACTTCAACACTCAAGTACTTTAACTGGAGAAATTGTCAGTGATGATATGTAAATAAACATATTTCAAAGTAAAAATGCGAAACCAAACACACAGACACGGACATTATACCTTAGTAAGTATTGTATGATTTGCTGATTATCCTCTGACGTTGGAATATTACATGTTTCGTTAGAACGTTATGAATTATACAAAATCAAACGAGATCGATGCAGCTGAACAAAAATAGTTACACGAGAATAGACATATTCACAAGTACAATGTACACAAGCATATACAAATGTCCCTGGGACGCTTTTGCCAGTTAGACTCTGTCATTGTATGTAGGGGGCACGGGTGGCCCAGTAGCCTAAAGCACCGCAATTGCGTCCCATTGGGCACGCCAGAAACGTTTGATTTTTGGTTCGAATCCCGGTTCGCCCCAATTATGTTTCTAGGTTTGTCAGCACCATACCCGTGCTGGTGGGTTTCACCAAAGTGGAAAAACCTGCATCTCTTTTCCTCCCTCATCAAGCTGACAGATCGTGAAATAACTGAAATACTGTTCAAAGCAGCGTTAAACCGCTTACTCACTCATTTGTATATAGTGACAGATGCTATGACAGTTATAAATTTAATGTTCCTCAAAACAGGCTGTCAAGACACCCAAACGGTGTCTTTCCAAATCCTAGAAGATTAATCACAAGCGTATCGTCGTCACCTGTATCAACGTCCATATATTGTATGCACATATGAATGAACAGTTTATGTAGCACACAGTTTATAATTTTGTACATAAATACATGCGTATGAACATCTTATGCTGCACATATCTCCAAACTACCATTATGTGATATAAGTAGAATAACTCCTGAACAATAGCATTGCTGCTATTGTAAAGTGGTTTTCAAAACTACATCTTCCAGGACTGAACAGTTTATAAATACGTACATCCTAAATTATATGGGTATTTTCTGTACATAGATACACATACTTATCAATGAACCGTAAATTGTACATACAACCTATTTTTCCAAGTACATAGTTTATTTTGTGTACTTTTAAATAGTATGTTGTAATGTATTTTAATCCAAATGAAATCAATTTTTTAACATGATACGTATGTTTATCTTTCAATAAATAATCTTTGCTGTAAATATTGATGACTGTATAACTCAATGAGCATTCTACATTTAATACACAATTCTATGTTTCATCCGTATCTAGATATGTGCGTTGCATTGAAATTGTATTTATTCTAGATACATGCACCACAAAATTGTCATTATCCATACGTACATCCTAGATTATATTGGTATTTTCTGTACATAGCTACAACTACTTACCAATAAACCGTAAATTGTACATATACACATATATCTCCAAGTACATAGTTTATTTTGTGTACTTTTAAATAGTATGTTGTAATGTATTTTAATCCAAATGAAATCAATTGTTTAACATGATACGTATGTTTATCTTTCAATAAATAATCTTTGCTGTAAATATTAATGACTGTATAACTCAATGAGCATTCTACATTTAATACACAATTCTATGTTTCATCCGTATCTAGATATGTGCGTTGCATTGAAATTGTATTTATTCTAGATACATGCACCACAAAATTGTCATTATCCATACGTACATCCTAGATTATATTGGTATTTTCTGTACATAGCTACAACTACTTACCAATAAACCGTAAATTGTACATATACACATATATCTCCAAGTACATAGTTTATTTTGTGTACTTTTAAATAGTATGTTGTAATGTATTTTAATCCAAATGAAATCAATTGTTTAACGTGATACGTATGTTTATCTTTCAATAAATAATCTTTGCTGTAAATATTAATGACTGTATAACTCAATGAGCATTCTACATTTAATACACAATTCTATGTTTCATCCGTATCTAGATATGTGCGTTGCATTGAAATTGTATTTATTCTAGATACATGCACCACAAAATTGTCATTATCCATACGTACATCCTAGATTATATGGGTATTTTCTGTACATAGCTACAACTACTTACCAATAAACCGTAAATTGTACATATAATCATATATCTCCAAGTACATAGTTTATTTTGTGTACTTTTAAATAGTATGTTGTAATGTATTTTAATCCAAATGAAATCAATTTTTTAACATGATACGTATGTTTATATTTCAATAAATAATCTTTGCTGTAAATATTGATGACTGTATAACTCAATGAGCATTCTACATTTAATACACAATTCTATGTTTCATCCGTATCTAGATATGTGCGTTGCATTGAAATTGTATTTATTCTAGATACATGCACCACAAAATTGTCATTATCCATACGTACATCCTAGATTATATTGGTATTCTCTGTACATAGCTACAACTACTTACCAATAAACCGTAAATTGTACATATAATCCTATATCTCCAAGTACATAGTTTATTTTGTGTACTTTTAAATAGTATGTTGTAATGTATTTTAATCCAAATGAAATCATTTTTTTAACATGATACGTATGTTTATATTTCAATAAATAATCTTTGCTGTAAATATTGATGACTGTATAACTCAATGAGCATTCTACATTTAATACACAATTCTATGTTTCATCCGTATCTAGATATGTGCGTTGCATTGAAATTGTATTTATTCTAGATACATGCACCACAAAATTGTCATTATCCATACGTACATTGTACATCCTAGATTATATTGGTATTTTCTGTACATAGCTACAACTACTTACCAATAAACCGTTAATTGTACATATACACATATATCTCCAAGTACATAGTTTATTTTGTGTACTTTTAAATAGTATGTTGTAATGTATTTTAATCCAAATGAAATCAATTGTTTAACATGATACGTATGTTTATCTTTCAATAAATAATCTTTGCTGTAAATATTGATGACTGTATAACTCAATGAGCATTCTACATTTAATACACAATTCTATGTTTCATCCGTATCTAGATATGTGCGTTGCATTGAAATTGTATTTATTCTAGATACATGCACCACAAAATTGTCATTATCCATACGTACATCCTAGATTATATTGGTATTTTCTGTACATAGCTACAACTACTTACCAGTAAACCGTAAATTGTACATATACACATATATCTCCAAGTACCTAGTTTATTTTGTGTACTTTTAAATAGTATGTTGTAATGTATTTTAATCCAAATATAATCAATAGTTTAACATGATACGTATGTTTATCTTTCAATAAATAATCTTTGCTGTAAATATTGATGACTGTATAACTCAATGAGCATTCTACATTTAATACACAATTCTATGTTTTATCCGTATCTAGATATGTGCGTTGCATTGAAATGTATTTATTCTAGATACATGCACCACAAAATTGTCATTATCCATACGTACATCCTAGATTATATTGGTATTTTCTGTACATAACTAGAACTACTTACCAATAAACCGTAAATTGTACATATACACATATATCTCCAAGTACATAGTTTATTTTGTGTACTTTTAAATAGTATGTTGTAATGTATTTTAATCCAAATGAAATCAATTGTTTAACATGATACGTATGTTTATCTTTCAATCAATAATCTTTGCTGTAAATATTGATGACTGTATAACTCAATGAGCATTCTACATTTAATACACAATTCTATGTTTCATCCGTATCTAGATATGTGCGTTGCATTGAAATTGTATTTATTCTCGATACACACATTTGTTATAATAGAAAATAACTTACGAGCTTCGAGAAACACCCTTAAAATGTTTAGGGTGAATTTAACGTTTACTGTTATACGTTAATTTTACAACGGGTTTTTATCGGCCATTCCAAGCGTCGAGTGGGTTATTTATATTCTTACCAAAAACATTCTATGTGGTAATCGGGGGCACGGGTGGCCCAGTCGTCTAAGGCGCCGCGATTCGTTGTGCAGAGTTACGTCCCTTGGGCACACCAGAAACATGATTGTGGGTTCGAATCCCGGTTCGCCCCGATTATGTTTCTAGGATTGTCAGCACCATACCCGTGCACGTGGGTTTCACCGAAGTGGTAAACGTCTGAGACCTGCATCACTTCGGGCTTTCCTCCCACATTAAGCTGACACGCCGTGATATAACTGGAATAATGTTAAAAGCGGCGTTAAACCCAACTCACTCACTCACTCACACTATGTGGTAATCACTTACAAAACGTGTCAGCTTTCGGCAGATGTAAGAGAGCCTATACCTGAGCCATGACACGTATCCATCCTCGTGAAAAAAGTCATCCCTGAAGCAGACATACCTTCTCACTTCCGTTTAATGTATGCTGCAGATGAGAAAGAAATCCTCTAAATAATGTAATGTTATTTCAAGTAAACAAAATAAAGAACAGTGTATGTTCATACAAGAACCAAACACTTGATGATGATCCGTTATTGTATGAATGAAGCTGTAACTGACTAGAATCCCCAACGTTTTTTACGTGAATTTTGGGCTAGGTCATAAGCGGCGTGAGTCATATTAAATGTGAAGCATCTGACTTCGTTATGCTGAGTCAGCACCAACAAGGCACGACAAATAATCAACAAGCATGTTAGTGGTTTCAAGATACATTTTGTCTGAACGAAACTGACTTTTGGACTTGAAATAGGTACAATTACGTCCGTCGTCCCAATCAAAGTGATTTCACGTAGACCTATTTGGCTTGTCTCCAAAACCTGCAGACATGTTGATACCTCTTTTGTACTGCAATCCAAAGCTCCACAAAAACTGTACAAAGCGAGGCACTTGTACACTGCAGGGTCCAGAAAACATACCACCAAATCCCCGTCTCAAAGGTTACCTATAATCCTTAGAACTTTGTTAATATTCGCAAACAGTATGATTAATGTCATGTGGATTCTCAAAAACTCAAAGAATTTGCTTGCATTTTTGCAATCTCTGAAAAAGAACCAAGTTTAATTCTGTCAAAACAATTGATTTTCCAGTTTCATCGCTAACTCACACGAGAAACTTAAGGGAAAACTTTACTCATTGATCCATAACGTATGTTTCTCTGAACGTGGTTACCATACAAAAACATATCTATCTTCAAAGGTTCAGGACAATTTGTTAATAATGACATCTGAAGTTTACTGAAACAACTATATATGAAAAATTGATCTTGCTCACAGGTACCAGCTATGCGAAATTTGGTTAGGATAGGAGAAATAGGCAAAATGTAGGCATCCCCATGGAAACCAATTGTGCTCCCCTCCTTGATTATATGTTTCTTTGTGTATATGAATCAGAATGGCTGTTCAGATAAGCAAACTCAGGAGTCGGGAATTTTGGCCAAGACGTTTAACTTTAGCATATCGATGATCTGTAATCGTTCAGAATATGGTCAAAAAGCCAATTCCCTTCCACTGATTGACACCCGTGAAGATCCGGGTTAGGTTTGGTCTTCAGTAACTCATGCCCGTTGTAAGAGGCGTATAAACGGAATCGGGTGATCACCATCGCCTACGAGGTTCATGCATGTCATCGTTTCCAAATTGCGTAGATCGGTGTTCATGATGTCATTCACTGGATTGTCTGTTCTCGATTCGATTATTTACAGGCAGCCGTCATATTATTGAAATGTTGCTGAGTGCGGCGTTAAACAACAAACAGTCAATCAATCCACAGATTCTCCCACCTGAACTAGAAATAAAAGAGACCAGTAAAGACTCCATCTGTGTTGTGTGTGTTCATTTGGTAAAGAACGTGATATAAATTCATTCACATACTTACCAATGAACTTGTATATACATGTAAATACCCAAGCTAGTCCATATTCCAAGAACAATCATGTGACTGTATCTCGTATACAATGTTACAAGGTAGATAGTATATGGTATATACGGTTGCAAAGAGTTACAACTTAAACACTTATTTTGAAGCACAAGTTGCCAATTTGACCAATGACAATCATGTGTGAGGAGAGTAGAACGCCATTCCCTCAATTGGTTTTATTGTCGGATTTTCTTTACTCTTTATTTAGATATCGAATATAGCGAGAAAGCACTCTTGTTTAAAGTTATTATATATTCTGGTTTTATGCTGTAATGTCTGATAATATGTCTTACCTTTTAATGGTCAAATACTAGTTTTATATACAACTTTGTGATATTCTTGTCGACATGTTTTTAGAGTTGTTATTTATGTATCATATTTTCCAGTTATGACCTGGCTGAAATATTGCCGATGTGACTAATATGTATAAATTTTAACCCACTGACTCTAGTGACACAAAACAGACACATTAGTGTGGCTTGATGGTTGGTAAGTTAGAGTGTAATGAGAACTTGACAATGATCTAATCCGAATTATTTCTATAATGCATATAGAAGTGAAATTGATAATAATTAATGACTTAGTTATTGTATACACTTTATTGATTTTGCAAAATTTATGCCAACAGTGTTATGATTCTAGATATTAAACATTATACTATATGACACTGCAATACACAGTGTAGAACTGTCACACCAATGAAGCCAGGGTACTGTCTCATTCGGGGATGCTGTTCGGGGTGATCATAGTAACAGGATATCTTTTCGCCTGCTGTTTCCAGCGCATACTACACAACACACGCTCACAGAATATCAAATGGTTCCATGAACGTATTTTTCATGATTTAAGCAAGGATTTGTGATATCTTTTAGTCTTCTGTTTCGCATGTAAGTACATTAATCCGACTTAAGAAAGTATCAATACATTGTTAATAGCTAATGTTATGATGTGCTGCAAGATGCAATGTGATATTTATGTATATGCAAACTTTGTCAATGCGTAGGATAACAATTGCCGATGTTATTGTCGTTTAGTTTCCATGAACGTATTTTTCATGATTTAAGCAAGGATTTGTGATATCTTTTAGTCTTCTGTTTAGCATGTAAGTACATTAATCCAACTTAAGAAAGTATCAATACATTGTTAATAGCTAATGTTATGATGTGCTGCAAGCACAATTACACAGTATCACAATACGAGTTGCATGTCCTATTGCTAATTTATAACCCACACAAAGATCTACTATCAGGATGTTATGGGAACTATTTGAATTAAACGTTTTCGTGAAAACGCCTGAACAAAATGATTCCATTTCTTTCTGCTATCTCCAAACATTCTTAAAAATGAATTTTATTAATCACACGAAGCAACAGAAAGATTTGTCCAAGGCAGAAATTGATTATTTGATTACTGTTTGAATATATAATGATAACAGAACAAGGGAATACAACTACATTCTCTTAATCTGTTTGTATCTTTTGCTCACATATATTCATGATTTATCAACATTTATACATTCAATATATATTACCACCTACTGTAGTATACCATGTTGTAAATATATTATGTGGAAGTTTATCCAAAACTATTTATCACAATTGCTTTATATCGTTTGAATCACTTAGTTCAATCTTTCATTGTTAGATTGCCCGTGTCAATTTAATTGTAACTACATTGCATGTCAATGAGAGAAATCTAAACTACGCATGAAGGATATTAGTTTGGTTGTATGTGTATATTATTTCTTTTCCGTTGCTTAGACAGGAAGTTATTATTTATAGTACATTTGTGAACGTTCAAACGGTCTTTATAAAGCTTAGAATCTAGTGTTCAACATGGATGTCTCAGCTGGGACCATCTGAATGAATATGTCGTACCAACTTAATCTAGATCACAATGGGTCAATCAAATCCCAGAACGGTCTCACATTCTCATTTTGTAATTGTTTTTTATTTCTGTTATTAATAGTGGTTTTCCGTATTCTCATTCCTGTTAGATCTTTGAGGCTCACTACAACCTCGTAAGACCCTATTTTCATTCTGAATGTAGTAATTGAAAAATGACTATCATATAATAAGCGTATATCATATGTTGCTGTTGTGGAATTCAAAAAGGAAACCGATTCCGTGAGATAGACGGCGATTATGGAAATGTCTACAATAACACAACTTGGACTTCAATATTTGTATTATACTTAAATCTTTTAACAAAATGTTAAATCATGTGTTTGATGTGACGACGCTGTGACTGGCCTCTTTGGTCTACGCCAAGGATCTGTATTGAGTCCTATGCTATTTTCATTCTTCATCAATGAACTATACAATGACATTTCACTTTTTGGAAAACACGAAGTCACTATATCAGGATTACGGAACCAACTGGATATGCTATCAGTGTACTCGGATATATTGAAACTTGAAGTAAACTCAGATAGGACTAATATTGTGAATTTTAGATAAAGAGGACCAATGGTACTGGGAGAAAAGTAGACATTTGAAGGTCAACATATGAATATTGTCTGGGGGTATTAAGTACATTAAACTTAAGTGGATTGGTGTTAAATATATCAACAAACTTGGCGTTGTTACACCTCACGTTTTCTTTAAACTGGTTGATTGTCAAATACAGCAGATTTTATTGTATGGCGCAGAAATATTGAGCTGTCGAAAGCTTTGTTCTATCGAAAAGGTTCACATGTCGCCCAGAAAAGATTTCTTGGACATGTCAACTCCCAGTAATATAGTCTGAGGTGAATGCGGGAGATTTCCACAATATAAAACATCTTATACTCGATGCCTACGCTATTGGCTGAAGTATTATATATGCCTGAACATCGTTTGCCGAAGAGAGCCTATAATGTGATTGTAAATCTTGATAACAGATATGTTTCGACAGAATTGCAGTCTACAGTTTCAAAAAGGGTTGTACATTTTAGATTCAAACACCTCCGCAACACTTTTTTTCGCTTAAGACTTGGTCTGAGTGATCTAAAAGTGAATAATGAAAGATATTTAAATATTGAAAAAACTATAAGAATTTGTCCTGTCTGTAACCTTGGTGTTGAAGACGAATTTCATTCCACGTTTATTTGCGCTTTATATAACAATAAATATAGGATATTACCCGCCGGGTCATTTTCATGTTGTTGTGATTATATGTTTTGTTTGACAGCACAGACCAAGTTATTAGTAGATATACATGAAAATGGCCAGGCGGGTAAATACTTCCGTATTTTGATACATTCAAGATGATTTTATGTTGTCAGTTGTCGGTGTTGTCTTGCTGCTCCGTATACTACACTATTTGTTAATATAACTGCATTTCTATATAACGCTCTTGTATGTGTACCAATGGCCTTTTATAAAATACCCCGCCTCCATTTAATTAAAGACACCGCCGAAAGCTTTTGTTTTTTAATAATGATACCATATCTTAGTTTCATATGTTATTTAAAACGTGATGTTTGACGTTTTGGTTTTGCCGCGCTAAGCAGTATGTCACCTATATGACGGCGGCCTGTAATCAATCGAGTCTGGACGAGACAAACCCACGCTGTCGGGGTACGATGTACGATGACACGCAATCAACCAAATCACTAAGCCTGACCACCCAATCAATATTGTCCGCTTGTACGACACGCAAATATTCCTGGGGACCTGTTCTAACCCGGAATGTCCACAGGGGATGTTTGTGTTAAGTTACAATAGTTGATGGTTAAATAACCGCTTTACTAATGTAACAATTATATTTTATTAGCTAGCATGAGCAGATTTGATACAAGATCCCGAACATTAAAGACAGTCAATACACTAAGCTTAGATATTTTAATGTTTCTGAATTTCTGAATGTGAACATATTAGTATATGTATATCTCGAAAGAGATATCGTCAAAATGGCAAAACCTAACATTATTTGTCGTCATGAAACCGCAACACATATTTGCTGAACTGTTCTTACACTTTGTTCTTTTAGACTTCAATCAACTTTAGTTGCAATGCAATCGGCAGGAAGACCATTTGTATGTAATAATGAATGTACATAATTAAATATATGTTATCGCCCGTTTTTAAGGCATCGATCATTTGATATGCTCTGCGTGTGTGAGAGCTGGGAATTTGTATGGATATTAGATCGGCTAAAACATCCAGTTAAGCCTACATTTTTTTTAAATTACGCCTTGCAACAATGTAGTTGTTGTGGCATGCAGCTTCTCCTCTTTTCAACTGTCTGAAGCATATTTATCTTTTTCAAGAATTATCGGGGACAATATGTTGTTTTTCGAAAAAATCCGAGACTCCGACCCCACGCCCAGTATCAATTAGCCGGACCCTGAGACGTGATTTGAACATTTGACTAGCACAATATAGAGTTCGAGAATTGTACTTGCGTTTCATATTAATTGTACCTGTAGATCATGTTATAAATAGTAAATTACTTCCAGATCAACTGTCTTTCTGAAATATACTTGTAAATTACTTCCAGATCGACTGTCTTTATGACATATACTTGTAAATTACTTCCAGATTGACTGTCTTTATGAAATATACTTTTGTAATAAAGGATAATTTTTAAATTATTTCTGGTTCTTATGTGTTCATATTTCGTATATTTGTTCATGTTCACGATTGCTTAAAAGACTTGACCCGTGAAGATCTGAGGGAGAATAGGTCTTCAGCAACCAATGCGTGCCGTAAAGGGCGATTATGCTTGTCGTAAGAGGCGACTAACGGGATCAGGTGGTCAGGCCCGATGACTTGGTTGATGCATGTCATTGTATCGCAAATGCGTGGATCGATGCTCATGATGTCAATTACTGGATTGTCTGGTCTAGACGCGATTATTTACAGACCGCCGTCATAGAGCTGGAATATTGCTGAGTGCGGCGTTAACCAACAAATAAACAAAGCTTAAAAGACAGGAAAAACGATTTCTAGATTTATTGTAAAATGTACTGACTGAACATGCGTAGATCAAGCAAAAAATCAGACAAAGCCTAATTAAATACTGTCAGAGAATATATGAGATAAGTGGAGTAAATCAGATGTGGGTTTTGCAAAATTCAAACGATGTAGTTGAAGTGATACGATCTCAGACAAGGGAACAATTGTCAAGTTTTAATACTTTCCCCATCATGTCGAGCAATATGCCATCAGCTTCAGCTTATGGCGTCTACATTTCTCAATTGCTTAGGTACTAAAGAGCATGTAGATTCCATTCAAACTGCACAGAAAGACACATTTTGTTTACAACCAAGATTTTGTATCAATGTTTTACCATCAAAGGCCTTGTTAATTCAGTCGAGAATTGTTTTATAAAAGACATTTAGCGAAATGACTGAATATGACATGAGTGGCGGATACTACCGGTAGGGCAGAACATGCTTACCCTTTGTACGAACACCAGGTATCATCATTTCTTTGGCGATCCATTCATATAGTTCTTATAGCTAGTTATCCTGTGAAGCAATGTGCATCCACAGCAGAAATTCGAGACCCCGTTGCTAGGCTGACGTCAAATGGCATTGTTTCGCCGCTTGATCTTGCAAACAATTTCACAAATACGTCATAGGGTATTGTAACGTGATTGTAAACTTTGTGGTACAGGACCCCGTTCCAGAAGGCGATCGTAGCGCCACGACACTTGCTCGTCTAGGTATATGGGAGTTATTGATAACCTTGGCGCTACGATAACTTTCTGGAAAGGAATCCTGAACTCTTAAGGTGGACCGTTGCATGGTATTAAATTAATACGTGTCAACTTTTGACGTGTTTGAAGTATTGTTTTGTTACACTCAATCGGATTATGCTGTGGATCGCGTTGATATCTGCCTATATTCACACACGACATTGTAATTCTAAAAAAAGGTTTTAAACGGCAAGTAATAAATGAAATACTTAACTCTCCCCTGTTTAGCATCAATTTAATGCAACTCGTGAATAGTTCTGGTATTAATTGAGGCTCATTTATTATTCTATATATATCAAATAGTGACGATATCAGGTGTTCGCGAATGGCAATGAGCATAACTAAACTGAAAACAACAGGACAGTAAAATAAAACAGTTTAACTAGAAATCAATACCAATTACAATATAAGTATAGCAGATAGTACATGAATTCTGCTTTTGCACATGTTCACATGTTTCTCTGCAAACCCAAAGCCTACTTCAACCAGAAAGTAAAAAGCCTGCCGCCACATGGTTTGTATTACATATTAACGCATGCAGTAACATACACAAGGATACAATTCGCAATGTAACATGTGTACATGTATCATGTAATTCGTTATTACATATTAACGCATGCAGTAACATACACAAGGATACAATTCGCAATGTAACATGTGTACATGTATCATGTAATTCGTTATTACATATTAACGCATGCAGTAACATACACAAGGATACAATTCGCAATGTAACATGTGTACATGTATCATGTTCGTTATTACATATTAACGCATGTTGTAACATACACGAGGATACAATTCGCAATGTAACGTGTACATGTATCATGTTCCTTATTACATATTAACGCATGCAGTAACATACACAAGGATACAATTCGCAATGTAACATTTTTGTTTACATGTATCAAGTTCGTTATTACATATTAACGCATGCACTAACATACACGAGGATACATTTCGCAATGTAACATTTGTACATGTATCATGTATCGATGACGAACATGATGAAAAACAATATGCGTATAGACTGCAGGGTACTGCACAAATAAGTTAAATAACAATAGGTCTGTATTATAACAAGACATTATACTAGCATTATAATGTGATGTTTCAATGCAGTCTCAAGCACATTGTGCTCCAATACAGTCTCTAACACTTGATTTAACAATTATATTTAACATGTACCTAACACTTGTCATCATGTTAACCATATGACCACCTATATAGTTACGTCGTCATCAAAACCAACTATGTACAAATGCTGTAGGAATATAGATTTTAAAAGATCAATGAAAGGGTTCAATTGTTAGTCTATCCTCACAGACATACACTTATCTCAATGGTAGGATTTAGATTTTTTCACAAATCATAATGATTTCTACTTTTGAAATGCCAAATACTTTCGTATCTTTAATCTCACACTGAATTGTCCTTAAACATTCATATGTTAAGGTTCTTTGTTCATAATTCAATAACCTACTTCTGGGATTCTTACGGCTACTTACGTAATTAAATCATCAACCTTTATTTTTACCCAAGCTAACGTTCTGATCTGTCACGTTCTCCCAGCTGCCAGAATATGGCTGATATTTGTGTATGTGTCATAACACATTAGCATCTATCTAACTGGCGATTGAGGAAAGCGAAAGAACGTAAATTAAAGGCTCTCCAATCAGGTGTACAAAAACCTACATAACATTTTGAAGTTAAAGGTCATATCTGTCCATGGAAGTAGGCTATATTGGAAAATTATGTTGTCAGTGTACAGGGTGATGTCTAAAAATGCAATATTGTCTTGCCATTTTAGTTGACTTGTTATCATAATTATAACATAATGGTTGCACATTTCAGTGAAGGAAATCAGGTGATGAGTGAGTAAGTCAGCTTGATGTCGGAGGAAAGCCAAAAGTGATGCAGGTCTTTGACATTTAGCACTTTCTTGAAAGGCACGAGTATGGGTATGGTACTGAAATAATCAGGGTGAATCGGGTTCGAACTTACAAGATTCGATTTTTCATGCGTAAGGGATGCAACTCTGCACAAAGAACTGCGTGGCTTTAGATAACTGGTCCACCGTGCCCACATCAGATGATCGACATTGGTGTGATGTCAATGTACTGCTCACATGAAATAAACCAAATGGTTTCGTATGATCGCACGTTCCAGACACATGACCAAACAAACACGTCTTTACACACTATTCAGCATGGGAATCGAATCTGGGTCTCTAGTATTACAATCATTTAACCTCCACAACGTCCGACACGCATATAATAATACTAAATGTATAATTAATAATTAATTGATGCAAATATAATATGAAAACAAGATTGAAAGACATATAAAATATGACATACACTACATGAAACTGGTATCTTACACTATGACAAAACATGTACATATCGGTCAACATTCACATCAAGGAAAGGTAAAAGGAAAACGGAAGATAATGCTATTTCCAACTGTTCAGTTCAAAACTATCCTTATAAAATATCTCCGCTCTGTTTTGTTTTACCCTAAGGCATGGTATCAACAGAAATATACACTGTGCCTGTCCTGCTCAAACTGAGTTTCAGCTTGTTGCAGCTCTTCGTTACCTTTTCTTTTCTTTTGAAATCTTGGAGGTGTTTCGTAGGTGGTTTTTTTCTGATTCTTGCGATAGCGCCGTCTTTGTGACTTTCTCGTTTGTCTTGCATCTTTGGTACTGTCTTGACTTTGAAAATGTCGATCTGGTCTTTTGGCCGTCTTTTCAAAGGGTTCTTTTTCAATATCACTTTCATTGTCTGAATATGCGTCCGGAATTTCTTCATTTGGGCCCAATGTCGAGTCAGTATTGACGTTTCCCTTAAAGAATAAGACAGGCGCTATTAACAAATACAATGTAATGGTTGTTGTTTATCTAAAATAGTCAGGGAAAGCAATGTCTCAGAACTATATTTTTAGATTTTTAATAACCTTCAATATTGAACATACCTGTATGTATCTATATTCTCTCTAAGTTTTCAGGTTGCAGTACATAATGTTGCAACTACCACTAAGTTTATTTTTTCAATCATATTTTTAATGTCAGCAACAAAAACAATTTATATAATCCCATTAAATATATGTATGATTCCTTCTATTATCACAAGCCTAGTTGATGATGATATGTCAAGGATCTGTTTGAAACATACGAACATAAGTGAACATAAGATATGAAATATACCTTAATGTCATGAACTGGTTCCATTTCTGACTTGATCTTCTCAAAATCACCAAACATCGTCGTCATATCCTGCTGCAACTTCAGTGTGAGATTCCACTTACGTTCATGCAAGATACTATCCTTTAATTTCAAAATTTCGTCCAACTGGCGCACTAATCGAGAAATGTCCAATTCCTGATATGGATACTGTTCCTTTACATGCTGTTGGTCTCTCAGTTTACCTTTGGAGATGAACATCTTTATATCCCTAATTGTCAGGATGAAGTGTTCTGTGTGTAATGACCTGAATGTCTCAAATTGTTTATTTCTGTCGACATGTTCTTCGGTTTCTTCGTGGCGTTGTGATGTTTTGTGTGTGTCAGAGGATTCGCTGTCCATAGTAACCTTGGCATGAGATCCTACTGCATCTCCTATTTCCCCTGATTCAGCACAAAGGTGTACTCCACAAACACCACACTCCGTCTGACATATCCGAAAGGGAGAAAACATTTCGGTAAAGTGTTGCTCAAAGCATCTGTCTTTGAACTGCCTTGAATCTACTCTTTCCACAAATGTCAAACGTTTAAAGAACCTTTGTATTTTTATTGCAGCGTCATCTTTAATGTTTGTGTCTCTCATCAGCATCTGTTGACACTGTCTTTCCTCTCTTTCGTCAAACGTCAGTGTTACATCATCACTGACATACTTACCTATACAACCATTAACAGCAACTTCATATTCACCATCACCTTCATCTCCATCATCCTCACCTCTTGCGGCACCACCCTCCATATTTTGCATTTCTTCCTGATGCCTTGTTTCATCAGTGATTTGTGTATTTGTGTCTTTTGCCAAGCTTTGAGAACTTGATATTGTATCAATATCAAGTGCATGACTGTGTATATGTTCATTTCCACTCTGCTCCCAATGACACATTAACAAATTTCCTCCTTTCGCTGCCAAGAATGTGTTCAGTGCTTTAGCAATAGCTTTAGTATCTTTTGAGCTTTTCACTTCTTGTAGAACTATGGACAGTCTTGCTGGGGCATCCTCAGGCAGACTCAGACTAAGTATTGTTTTCATCAACACACTTCGTAGTTTCATTGAGACAAACACATCAACATTCACCATCAAAACCAAAGCAATAACAAAGCATCTCTCTGCTAAAAGGTAAGAGCCCTTTCCAGGGTTGAATAGGCGTTTCAGAAGGTTGAGTTTCTCACCACAAAGGACTTCAAAGATCTTATATATACAATCCTTCATCACTGTTATATTTTCTTTCTTCATAGCTCCTCGCTGAATCAAGTCTTCTATTCTCACGTTTTGACTGTTGAACATACAGTTAAAAAAAGAAGTGATTGCAACATATGAATCAGGCACTATAAATCCTGGAGATGCGGCTGACAGTCTTGCAATAATTAAAAATGTCACACAAGCGAATAATTCCTGCCACAGACAAAATACTGACATTTTGGGGAGAAGTGAGCGTTTGTTCTTACTGCAAAGAATTCTGACGCATTTGCTATACTCAATGACGGCTTTCACTGGAGCTTCTTGCAACCAAAGGAAAACATCATGAATTCTCCGTCCAAGGCTGTCAATGACCACCGTTTCATCATCATACTGAACATAAAGTGCATGATGTTCAAACTTCCTGAAAAGCCAATCAGGCTGATATTCCATTAGGTTCATTTCCAGATCTTCATAGTGAGCCCTTATATGTAAATCTACTCCAAATAAGCCGCCAAAAAGTGTGGCCTGTACAAACCAGTCTATGCTTTTGGAACGTTCCTTCAGTAGGTTCTCACCTTGGCGTCCCTTACACAACCAATGGTTTCTGAAATAATATTCTATTTGTTGTGGGACTTTCCCTGTTCTGAGTAACTGACTGCTATCTGATAATACACTCATATGTTCATGCTCTGGAATCAGGAAGTCCAACAGCCTTTCACAAGAATCAAAATCATTTTCGTCAATGACAATATTCATTCTTGTGAACATTTCCATCACATTTGATTCATTTTCTTTCAGTTCATGACGATTTCGTACCCAATTTTGCAAAATACTGTCAAGATTTACTTCCCAAACAAGTGCTTCGAGGGTATTAAATCCCGTGTTGATAGTGTACTGTGAATGGTGGTATCTACATTGTTGACCATTGTTGCATTTTCTACCCTCCATAAACAATGGGCAAAGGAGATGGCAATCAATGTATGTACGAAGAAAGTCCCTTATTTCATTTATCCAGTTCTTTGATAGACAGACAAGGTGATTGGAGAGTATGAGGCACACCTGTTTCTTGTTTTTCTCCACTTCTACATGCTGCTCTTCAGTTTCATTCAGTAACTCAGGAGCCAATGCCATAATGCGGGGTTTTTGTTTTGGAAACAAAATAACCGTATCAATGTCTTTCTCATACAGGCCATAAAATTCAAGGTAAAGCTTTGATCTTGATTTTTCCTCGTATGTATCAGGTTTCAAAAGAGACTTTAATACATTGAACATGCATTCAACTCCTCTGATGAGGGCTTTCATGTCAGCGAAATCAATGCATGCGTCTGCTTTGGAAACCTTCAGTACAAAATCTAAAGATTCGAGCATGCCTGCTTCATTTGCATATGGTCTTGTATTCTGAAACTTGGCAAATGCGGTCCTTGCACCTTCTTTTGAAAATAAGAATGTAGCATTGGTGAGTATTGAAATTCCAAGGTAATTTAAGTTTCCTGTCAACTGGAAAGCACTGCATGCTTCAGTGAGATGAACTTTTATCTTATCATCCTGGAGATCAGTATCCTGTTCTGACATCATCTGCAAGGCCCGGATGTAATGACATTCACCAATTGATATCCAGTCGTCAACAGTCTTTGCTAAGTCAAGGGCTTCATTTACTTTGCCATGCTGGAGGAATATCCTGATTGCATCTGCCGTCTTGCCTGCACCAGAAAAATATCATGTGTCATCCCTTTTCTCAAATCACGACGTGTTTAAAAAGATATTTCTTTAAACTATACATGTCCATAAGTCAATCTGTTGACAAACGGGGACACGGGTGGACCAGTCGTCTGGGGCACCATAAGTCGCTGTGCGGAGTAGCGTCCCTTGGGCACGCCAGAAACTTATGATTGTGGGTTCGAATCCTAGGTTTGTCAGCACCATACCCGTGCTAGTGGGTTTCACCGAAGTGATAAACGTCTAAGATCTGCATCACTTCAAGCTTTTCTCCCACATTAAGCTGACACGCTATGATATTACTGAATTATTGTTAAAAGCAGCGCTAAACACAACCCACTCACTCATTCACCGATGACAAACATAACTGTGCTCATCTAAGTCATATTTTCATGAAACAATTTTTAAATGTAATTCTCAGTGGCGGTTTATGAAAGAGATAAGCATTTTCTTTCAGTAATTTCCTTGAGATAACAAACTTTCTTTCTGTTGGCACATTTCTGTTGGCAAAGTTTGATCATACACTTTTAGTTGAATTCCAACACGAACTTCATATGCAACAGTTTAACACTCCATGTTTGACATATTTCTTTTAATGTTAAAACTTCCAATGTATCTGTAGTTGACATCCGAATCATTTTGTCATGAAGCATCGAATATTGGCTTAATAGCAAGCCTATTATGTTGTAAATTTTACTAAATTTATTTACCTTCTTTCACCATTAACATAGCAGCCTCTTCATAATAGATAGTTTTCTTCAGAAATTCAATTCGATCTCCAACTCTAGGCAGGCGTTCCAAGGAGGCAATAATCTTCTCTTTATTCCTCATCTTCAGGTAACAGTTAGCAGCTTTGTAGCTCAGTCTTTCAGTTGTGAAACTGCTTTTGGGTTTATGCTTTTGTAGGGTCGGTGAGAGTATCTGTCCTCTTCTTTCCATGTCCTGAATAATATAACTTTAGTATCAAAGCACAAGATACACAGAACATGCTCTCAAAATAATGTTATTAATTCAATAAATTATTCAAGAGGAATAGACTGATTTCGTTTTGGAGGTGACACAACAAGCTATCCCGATCATGTGTCCTAGTTATGTATAGAGTAAGTCAAGGTTGCATAAAATAAGGTATTGCTTTCTTTGTCAGCAATTTAGCAGCACTTGTTTGATACCTGATATAATAAACTTACATCAGCTAGCAGTGTGTATCTGTGCAGACAGTCAATAGCTTCCTCGTAAAGTTCAGCCCTGGAGAGAACATCTATGGCAGAATTGAAGTGACCAAGTTGCTCTTTACATCTGCTTTCCTCAAGTGATTTATTACATGCACGATACATTTTCCCTGCTTTTAGCCACTGCAAGAAAATGGGCTCTGCATTAATCTCTCATCAATATACATCTGTCAAAACTATGCCATTGGGATAAAAATGTTACACACATTCAAGGGACATTTTTGCAAGTGAGTGAGTGAGTATATATTCCTGCAAGATCAGGGCGGGGGAAAACCAAAATAAGGGCGGGGGACAACCAAAATAACTCCAGAAATGAGCATTGTAACAATGTGGAGAATCGAACCCTAGCCTTCGGCGTTACATGGAGCGCTTTAACCACTCATGCTACCCCGACGCCTCGGACATTTATGTACACAATTACCAATTAGTTAACTTAAAGCTATATTATGAACTTAAGTGAAAAAAGGGATCCTTCTATGATTACGAATAATAAGTAACTAAATATTCAAGAATGTCCAATGATTTTCATTCTCTTCAGCATCATATTTATATTAAAACTTATTTTTATTATGTACTTTAGGATATGTTGATGACGTACTTACCATTCCACATTTTTCATACAAGAGACCAGCAAGTTCAAACTCATGTGCCTTTTGTAGGCACTGGACAGCCCTTTTGTCTTCAGAGCAGACCAATAAACGCTCGGCAGCACAGATAAACTCAACCTTCACCTGTTTAACATTATCAGTGCTTCTTAATGCGGTCAGTTCTTGGTTTAAGGCTAGAGCAAGCTTTGATTTTGCATCATCTTTTCCCATCCGGAAACATTTTGCTGCAACTTCGTACAGACGTCGTTCCATCATCTCCTCAGCTCTCTTCAGCCAGTCCTCTGAAGTTGACTTCTCAGCGAACATTGTGACACCTAACTCTGCGTTGCAGGAACAAATATGTGAGAACATCATGAGAAAACTTTTGCCAGGTCACTGATTGGTTATTTGTGGGTCATCAAACACACACTTTTCATTTACATTCGTAATTCACCATGGCAGTTGTATTTTATATTTCATGGTAGCTTGTGTATTGAACTAATAAACATAATTATCTATGTCTCCCAATCAAAACACCAAAGGTGGAAGGGAGGATTTCTAATTTTTGTTTCGCTCCATCAAATCACCTTGGAATGTTTTAAAATAATACAAATAGTATCTAGTGGAAACTCATGTAGTATTCTCTGTATGTGAATCCCTAAAGCCCCTTATATACCACGCTTGTATGAAGTCTCCAGCAAAGGAATCAGGTGGCTTTATGAACTGTGTATATATGTCATAAAGGATTGCCTACGTTACACATGTAGACATGGTGATTATCTAATGTTACACTCCATGTTTCTGACGTATTACTTCAAATAGAGAATCCTGTCTTCATGCCTTCACTGACCAACATTACCTTCATCAGTCATATCATCCTCTGATATCACTTTGACCAACTTCTTTGCCTTGAAAAATTCAAACATGGGGCCCCGCTTTTCTTCATTTTCATCAAAGATCCAAACGTTGACACGGGCTCGAGTAACAGCAGTGTAAAGGTGTTTCAGTTCAGAATTGAGTAGCTTGTGCTCTGTTTCATCAAATTTTAATGGCCTTGGTCTCACTTTCCGATTGAGGACATCTGCAGAAAGAATGTAAACATGTTAACTGACCATAAAAGACCAGTTTGACCCTTGCAAAACTAGACTGATGATCCTGGCCACGATCGTAGCCACCAGTGGCTATTACGAGTTATGTCCCTTCTATGTCTCTCCTGTTGACAAATCAGATGCCACCTCTTATATCACTTGCATATGCTTCAAACATTAATCTGATCGATAATCAAGATATATATTGTAATAAAACGGGTCTCACTGAGCGAAGTGCATCTTATCACGTGAGCACATTGATGAAAAACATAAAAAATATTTGGAAAATATCTGTTGACACTAAGTTGACGTTACACATGAATTGATAATCGAACAAAATCTGCACAGCAGTTTACGAACCAGATGTCAATTTGGTTATGCGATTTTGATTGGACTGTGCACAGTTAGTCCAACCAAAATATAATAATGAGTCCAATTCCATACCAGCTCGTGTGCTCACGGCACTTACATAGTACAAGGGTAATACTTATCAAAAAGAAATGTATTTAGCCTAGCCTTAAAGACAGATAGGGTCTCTGCAGTTTTTAGAGTTTCTGGGAGTGTAGGTGCTTGACAGGAGAATGATCTGAAGCCATGTCCCTTTTATCTCCATCTTGGAACACTACACAAAAGCTGGGATTGTGATCTGGTAGGCTGGTACACTTGAATGAGGTCACATAGGTGTCTTGGTGCTGTGCCGGAGATACACTGGTAGGTAATGACAAGAACCTTAAACTCTATCCGTGCTGGAACGGGCAACCAGTGCAGAGCCTGCAGGACAGGTGTGATGTGGCAGCTCATAGGACTGCACCTGACTATATAGGCTGCCGTATTCTGAATGCGTTGAAGTTTTGAGATCCTGTCTTTTGTAATACCACTAAGCAGACTATTACTATAGTCAAGCCTTGAAAAGATCAGTGTCCCGACAAGTGTTGCTTCAGCATCATGAGATATCAAGTGTCGAATCTTGCCAATGTTCCTGAGTTGGTAATGATACTTTCTACACAGGTCATTGACCTGTGCCTCCATGGATAGATTGGAATCCATAATGACAGGGGGTCGGGTAGCCTAGTGGTTAAAGCGTTCGCTCGTCACGCCGAAGACACGGGTTCGATTCCCGACATGGGTACAATGCGTGATGCCCATTTCTGGTGTCCCCCGCCGTGATATTGCTGGAATATTGCTAAAAGCGGTGCACAACTATACTCACTAACTCTTTATAATGACATCTAGGTTTCTAACCTTGTCTGATGGAGTTACATTTTCTTGAAAGGTGGTTAAATTGATGTTATCCAGCTTGTCTAACATCATGTTGGTTCCAACAACTATTGCATCAGTTTTGTCAGCATTCAACATTAGCTTGTTTGACAAAATCCAAAGGCTAACTTTATCAACACATGACTCTATATTTGCAAGTGAAAGTCTGTTGTTCACAATAGCTATAGCTTGATCCGCAAGTTGTGTGTCATCAGCATATAACTCATTGACAACGGATTTTTTCTGAATGAGACGCCCATGTTGTGAGGTGTTTAGTATGAACAGGATGGGTCCAAGGACTGAACCCTGTGGCCCACCGTATTCAATCTCTTGACTTCCTGATTCTGAATGTCTTATGAGCACTGACTGGGTTCTTCGGGTTAAATAGGACTTTATCCATAAAAGCGAAGTGCAGCCTCAGTCTCTAGACGTCTAAGCAGAATACTGTGGTCCATAGTATCAAAAGCTGCAGATAGGTCCAAAAGTATGAGAACTGCATAAGAACCTTTCTCTACAGAACTTTGGAGGTAGTTGAGGATGTGAAGTAGGGCTGTCTCCGTGCAATGACCTTCACTATATATCGATTGAAACTCATACATCAAGTTGTTTGAATCAAGATGTGTCTTTAGCCGCTTGTTGACTGCATTTTCCAAGAGCTTAGAAAGAAAAGACAAATCTGATATGGGCCTATAGTTCTTCAAATCTGATAGGTCAAGATTTGCTTTCTTGAGAATTGGTTTGATGACAGCCTTCTTCAATTGATCCGGTACTACTCCTGTTTCCAAACTCAAATTAATTATCTTTGTTTTAACAGGTAGTAGAATGTCAAGATACTAAAGTATGAACTTGGTTGGCACTGGATCCTCAGCAGATGTCAATGGATGGAAGTCCAACAAAGGAGTAGCAACCTGGTTCAGACTAGAAGAGTCAAAATATAACTCCATCATTCCAGTCTAGTTCGGCAAGGGTGGAAACTGGACTTTTACAGTTGACTCCCTTACCTCGGGATGATGATGAAAACAAAGTGACAACAAAACACATACCTTCATCAATCGTCACAAGATTTTCTGTGTCAGACTGTTTTATAGCCTCTTCCACTTGATTTTCAAGGAAGGTGGTAACAATGCGCCATTCCTTTGATGCCTGCAAATATATATTACATTACTGAAATGACTTTATAACTAAGTAAATGTATATATTCCTCATCCTGGTGTGAGGTACAATGCCAGGCTTATAGTGGTAGCCCACTGAGATATCATGCCACAGTTTATCATGGATACCCCACTCAGACACAGTATACTGATTCCGAGCCGACCGGTCCTTGTATTAATGTCGAGAGCTAGGCACGGTAGCATCAAGTACCATCCTTAAATTTCTTTTGGTAGGACGTGGTCAAGGATCAAACCAGCAGATGCTTTATCAACTTGACCCTGGAGGCGGTCATTCTGGAGTGAGTGAATGTTCTCTTACTACACTTGGGAAGTCTCCAGATACTGCAAATTGACAAGTAAATAATGGACATCTCTTCAAAACCAAATCCACATTAATAATGTGAGTCAAAAGCATAGCCTCCATGCCCAAATAATGACTACATGGCCACTCATGTTAAGCATTTTGATATCATTTATCTGTATCATAGCATTGATCTCATCATGTGAATAAGTATGAAACTATTGCTTTGGGTGGCAGCATTAGTCCACGTCACCTACCTGAGAGTCCTTGAAGAAGTTGTACAGCAGGACGTCATCAAACTCCAGACCCTTTGCCTCGTAGATGGTGAGTACGATGCCGTGGCTCAGCTCCTCGGGCATGTTGTTCTTCACAGAGTCATTCACTACCAGGATAGCCTGGTGGGCTCCGAACTCAATGTGCGATGTCTTTCTCTTGTTGCCCTACAAAAAATTGTCTTAATATTATTGTGAATCACATCCAAATTGAACGACCCATCTGCACAACAGATGTTACCATATGTGTATTTAAAGGGCAGGGCATTATTCACATTCTTATTTACAAGAAGAAACACAGTGTGACACTGGCCTAGAAACATGTCCTTAACAATGGATTCCACCACTATAAGTAGTGTATGACTTCATTTGAACCAACATCCAAGGGAACCAATTTTAGTTCCTATCTGAACGTGAGTTTCTAGACATTGATGGGTACTGGCAGTGAAGTGAAGTTGTAAGTCTGCCTAAAGTCTGCATAAGCACTGATCCAATTTGTCGCTGTGTTCAATCACAGATCTCTGTTTCAATGCACACTCCATTTGCAATATGTCGCCTGCTGGGTGTCTTTAGGTATAAGTAGGACAGTATCAAACTACAGCAATAACATGGGGGCTGTATTATGAAAATTGTAGCCATTTTAGCATAAAACGTTTTACATGTAGTAGACGAACATTCGTCGTTTCAACAACATGCAACTTGTTAGTTTTTTCAAAAGAGGATTACCTGTATAATTTACAACTACCCATATTACCATGCTTTATACATGAACACATACTGTTGATCTATCAGTGAACATATTACCTGCAGTAAAATGGCAAGATCACCAGGACTGCATGATTCTAATAGAATGGGGTAAGGTCCTTTGAAGAGGCCTTGGTCAGGTTGTAGTTTGTCAAATGATGCTGGAAAAAACTGTTTCATCACATCTAAAATTGCTGATGCAAGAGATAGAATTCCTGCATGTGATCTATAATTATGAGTCAGCTGGTAGACCTTCTTTGGGACATTAATTGGCTTGACTTGTCCAGTGGCACGCAAGGACTTCTTTGCATAGTGAAAGAGTGATTTAAGATCATTAAAGCGAAATGATATTCCACGCATAATGCCTTGGGCTGTGTCTCCAGTAAGAAACATATCATTGGGGTGTTGAATGATGCGGAGGAGAACAAATAGTTCAGACTGTGTGAAATCCTGGGTCTCATCTACAAACAGCTGATGAATCATCCATGGCCTCTTAGGCATTCCCCTTAAGCGTTTGTAAATATGTTGTATGATATCTGCTTCATCAAATAGACTGTGTTGCCTCTTGAAGTGCTCATATCTGCAATATAGTTCATAAACTATATCTCTTTCTCCAGAAAAGTTTGGTGCTCTCTTTCTGCCAATGTCTTCATATTCAGATTTAGATAAATCCCCTGATGACAGGGCTTCAAATGAACCCTTGATAAATGACATGATTTCGGTCCAGACAAGAGATGGATGATACCGTGTAGGTGTGTATTTCAGCAGCTTAGGATAAACATCTTCCACAAAATAATCATATGTAACTTCTTGCCGATGGTCCAACTTTTTTGCACTACTTGATGACCCTGTGGCGCCTTCCTCTTCAAAACCTTGTATCACATCAGCAGTTTCGTCTGTGTCAGATTCATTGTCAGAATCTAAAACATGTAGAGAAGTTTGAGAACGCCCATCTTGTGACTCCCAGCCTGCTACAGACACTTTCAGATTTCCATCTTCACTTCTCTCAAAGAAATAAGGAGGATCAAGAGAGGCATCTAACATCAACAGCAAATGTTTGGAGGTCATAAACAGTGGATAACTCCGATCATCAACATCTTGAAGTCTTGCTGGTATTTCTGCAGTTTCCATATTCAAATGTTCTTGTAATTCAACATATGGACAACACATGGCAAAAAAGTTTGCTTTTACCTCTGCACATAATACAGGATTTTTAGTAACAAACACTTGGTGCAGATGGTCAAATTCTTGTTGAGAGGTGTCAGCTTCTTCTTTGCTATCAGTATCGTCAATATCTGTGTCTTTATTTGTGGATTGTTCATTTTCCACCTCATCCACTATCACATCCTCTAGGCCAACACCTCTAACATTCAAATATGCATTCTCATCTGGTGAGGGCTGCTGTGCATCTTCCATTTCCGGGAGATCATCGGGTATATTTTCATCTGTAGATAGTGTGTTATTTCCTTGGTCACTGGTGCATGTTTGCTCTAATGGTGATGGCAGTGCTGTCTGTGACATTTCAGTCTGGTGCGCAGTGTCATCATCTTGGGATACTGCAACTATAAGTACAAAATTAGAATTTCGTTGACAATTACATTATGGAAAACTTGTTTCTTATACCATTGATCATTTAGAATATATAACCATAATCATATTTTGTTAAAACTAATATTTAGACTATTTGATACTTCTGGATCATCATTCGTTCATCAAAGATGCTCGACTGAAGCAAAACGACTTCTTATCTCCCCTCTCTGGACATGCCCACTCTCCTAGCCTCAGTACATGTACTTCCTTCTCAATGCTCAAACACTGTAAGGCAGGTAGATCCAACATGTGATAACAAGCTGAGTATCTATGATCCGAAATATTCTAAATATTATATTTGATATTATTACACTCTGCATAATCCCACAGCTGGAGCAGGCTTGAAGCCTGTAGTAGACTTTTGAAGATCATAGAACTCACAGTGCATTTGTCCAGTCCAAAATGAGGCAGCAAAGGTTGGGAGACATCACATGATACGCTACCATACATCTGAAATCTCTGAGTCATTTACAATGCAGTCCTTAAGGCAAGTGAGCAAGTTATCTACTCAGAGAAGAATGTAACATGAAACCTTCAATGGCACACATCTGAATGAAACACGAGGAAGCCTCAGAAAGATGCCCATCTTCAACCAGGAACATGGAAACTAGAAACTGCACCTTATATACATGTACATCCACTATGTACAATGGTCACGAGAAGCTAGCCTCTGCAGTAAAACCGATGGTCAACATCAGCAACGGAGACATCCCTCACTAAGCGACTAGTGAAGAGGAAGAGTCTGACTGCCAAAAGCAGACCTCGATGATCTTGAACAGAAGTGTTCATGTGAAGAGCAATAGTCACCGATAAAGCTCATACTTCATGAGAAAGCAGCATACATAGGCTTCCAAAATGGTAGAATGGAGCCAAAAAGCCACAGTCTTCTCAGATACTCAGTATGAGACCACATATTCACCGTAAGAATACTTTGAAGGCAAAACTCCTCAGTAAGAGCAAGGTAACAACGGATCATTTGCCATGGGCATAAGGAAAGATTTTCACTATCATTGAAGCCCATACAAGGAAGAATATGAAAGGCATTGTCTAGTTTGCCTGGAAGAGGGTATTTGGTGATGATTCCCACATCAGTCACAAATGAGTGACACCATGTTGACCTCGATGACCTGCATGACATTAAGAGCATGGACCTCAATACATCGGCCTGCAGTTGCAAAAGTCATGATTTAGACCATCTTCTGAGTAAGATGAATAACGTCACATAAGGACTCAAAAGGTTGATTCGGAGGCCGACTCAAGTGGCATTAGATCATGATCAGATCCCAAAAAGGAAACTTCTGAGTTATAATGGACTTTTCAGTAAGGTGCCAATGATGCCTTGCTGTAAATGATGGGAAAAATGCAAGTGCATAAAAAAATCAGTGACTAATTGCGGAAACGCCTGTGGAGCAGACGTGTGGCGATAAGAATAAGTATACATTAAGCATCAACCCCAGAGAATATACATTCTCGAATGTCCGACGAAACATATTTCATTGGGCATAAAAGGCAAATTGCCGTGAAAATGATAAGAAGGAATTATGAAAGTGTCCCATTTCCAGTCATAAAACTGCCTAGTCGAAGACGATGAGCTTAAACGACTGTCTAAGCTGCCCTAGCCGCAGACGAATTGGAGATATTTGGTCGGTGATGGATCCAATTTGTGGCGGCTTAGGACCCAACTCAACTAAAATTAGTTGTCTGTTTAAGAGTTCAGCCATCGAAATTACAAATCAAAGAAACCGGAAGTGTTGTCTGAGGTTGTCGAACTGCAGGTACTTGGGTAAAGTGGTACTTGCGATGAATTTGGATGTGCATGTAGGCAACCTTCAATGTTGAGATGTTAATCCCCCCGCTAGGCACACCAGATATCAAAGCTGAGCAAGAGACACAAATCGGAATTGAAGGGGCAGCTCAAAGGTAGGGTTGGTTGAAAACCTTCTGGAACAGAGACTTCGGTGAGTCATGGAATATCTAATTGTTGTAGGGCACCTTTGTATAGCAGAAATATTTATGTTTTACATGAGCATGGGAACGTGGTCGTCTGGATACTAAACGTGAGGTGGAGATATTGTATCCATGTCAAAGAACCTGGGTGACACAACTATTGTCTGGAATCTGTTACCACTTTCAAATTTAAAGGTGCAGCCGACCCTCAATGGGCTGAGCTGGAACAAAAGATAGAGGCAGATTGAGTGATTCTTTTGTTGGCAGGCAATATAGGAAGGGAAGCGAGACTCCTCCACATACAACTAAATAGAGAGATGGTGTGGCCGATCCCATGGAGGAATCTGAATAGTTCAGTAATGTTGAGCCATCAGCTAAGGACCGTCAACATCAGAGATATAGGCTCCCACTGACAAGGGCACTGGGGCTGAACCTGTAGACTACGCTTGTCAAGGCTACACACAGGGCAAAGGCAGCTGCTGAAAGCCTTGGAGCATGTCCCTGAGACATGAAGCAAGACAGTTTCACTTGAAACGGCTGGTCTAGCACACAAGCCAGAGCAGTGGAAGACGTTCACACACCCAACATAGGGAACTCCGGGAATAGGGAAGTTGTCCAAGGTTCATCACGTGTCTGTTCTTGATCTGACAATCCGACAATCAGATGGGCCCCACGACAGATCCTCGGTAGACTGGTGATCATTGTAAGAGGAAGACACAGGAAGGATATTTTTGTGAGTTGTGGGAAGATCATCTCGATTCACAAACCACAAATCTAAAATATTGAAACAGTACAAAACACCTTCACAGGCACAAACACAAGTTATGTGCCAAAATCCACTGAACGTTTGGAGTTGGAAATGGGGAACAATACGCCCGAACACAGCTCAAACTGGCATGCTGAATGAATTGTAAGGTATACAACACAGCACAAACAAACAAATAGGGGCGAAATACGATGAAGTGAGGAAATGTGTGTTGGATCAATAACAAGTAAAAATACTATGAGATCTAGCGACAAAAAAACATTCTAACGGAGAAGAAATGTTCAAGTCGAATATGTCCAGAAGCTAAACAGAAAGGAAAAGGAAGTAGTATGGTCTTAATAGGAGGAAGTGATCATGTCCCCACGGGGCAAATAATAAGTCTATTTTGCTTCTATCAAGTGTCAAGGTCAAAGAATGATAATGGAATGTGATAACAGGCTGAGGTAAATAATTACCCACATACCATAAATTAACTTAAATGAAATAAGATACTGATTTATGTACATTATAAGGGTAACCTTAGCAGTTACTCAAATTACCTTTGTTTGTTTCTTCAATAGGCTCAATGAATGTCCCCTTTCTTATCAAGAAAGGTTCACCAATGTCTCTTTCCTTTAGCCAATAGGATATGAAGTTTGTCCAGATCCTATATATACAGCAAGTCGTTTTCCCAGTTCCACTTCTACCAAGAAGTAGTATAGGTGTGTCAGATTTAAGTTGTATTAAAGCCTGTTCAACATCTGTCACTCTAAAAGGAAAATCAGCATGGCATTCTGTCTTCTGCAGGATCATATTAACCAGTGCTTGTGAGAAAGAGTAGAACTTGATTATGTGGTATTCAGTTTTACTGGGAGAAGCAGGAGGATACAAATCAACAATTTCTTGTTTGGTTATCGTATCATCAACATCTGTTTCTGAAAAGAGTCTAGGCACAATTGTTGAGGTTTTTCCCAATAGTTGCCTGTTATGACATGCAAGGTGCTTCTTGAGAAGGCACATTCTTCCTTTTGTATGAGATATACCTATTGTCTCAATGACTTCAGAAAGGCTTTCAGGACCAAATGTTATGTTCCAGATCCTGATAATCTCAGAATAAACCCGTCCACCTTTTACAACTAATGTTGAATCATGTTCCCCTGAAAGTCTGTTCTTTGGCTCTTCACTGCATCTAGCAGAGAAAGCTACAGCCTTTTCCCAAACGATACTGCCAGTCCTTCCTAGATGTGTTTCATAAAGATGAATTGGGACTGAAGAAGTTATTGCCCTCGAAACAATTGACTTCCACTCTCCATTACCAAGCATGTAAATCTTGTAGATAGCACTTTGCTTTAACTGCAGTGGAATACATTCGTTGAGAAAGAAGTTCAGAACTTCGGGGGTACATTCTACCTCCCATGTGAGGTCATTAAATGACAGTGAATCTAGATCATCCCTTGCTTCAGTTTCTTTGTCTAACTCACTTTCAAACACAGACTGCATTTTCTCTTCGTTGGCTTCTGTTCCTTCTGTTTTAACATCTCCATCCTTGTTTATCAAGAGAGATTCAGCATCAATGGACACCTCTCTGTATCCATCAGAAAATATGCTTTTTTTTTCTTGTCGTGCAAGGATAATATTCCTGATATTTTCCTTCATTTTGGATACGGTAATGGTTTTCTTCTTGTGGGGCTGGTTTTCGTCCTGATTTCTTGAAATCGTTTTCACGCTTTGCAGGTTTTGCATCTGATCATCATCATCTTCATGTGGAATGACCTTCTTCTCGTCTCTCGTTTGGCTTTTGATAGTTGAATGAGAACTTCCACCAATTAATCTAAGATACTGAGCTCTTCTGTCATTTCTGGAAGGGAGATATTCAATGGGACGCTTGCCTTCCTTATTGTCAATATCTGCCAGGGCATGTTCCTTGCAGAGAATTTCAATAGCTTTTAGTGTGTTTGTAGTGTACTTCCTCCTGCACACCACATGTAGCAATGTGTCTCCATTTTGGTCCACGCAGTTTGGGTGTAAGTAACTATATTTCTTGGCATCAGTTGCATGAAGTGTCAGCAGCTGGGATAAGATACTGAAGTCACCTACAACAAACAAAAAATTAAAATCACAGCAGATATGACTTTTACATATAGATATCAGTATACACAATTACATTGAATTTACTGGAACATATAAAATCGAATGTTTACGTGGGATTGAAGTTTGGATGAAGTGATGATTTTCTACTCCACTACAAACCACAATACTACAATGCCAATTTAAAGTCAAACTGAAACAGTTATCCAGTCTTAAAAATTATAGCAAAGTTTGTGTATTATTATGTGACGTAATAGACAAATATGAATCATTCCCACTTCCAATTATTGATAAAAACCGATACTAATCATAAATCAATACTTAAACATTAATTAATGTTGATCATACAAACAAACAAAATATTTATATCTACTGTGAAGTTTATAATTGACTATTTTTAAAATGCATCACATCATCATAATCATCATCATCATTTATTCACAAAGTGTAGGCCATCGATGAATTACATGTTGCAACATTGCTAGAGCAGATTTCTACATTTCTCAACAATCGCTTACAATCTCAAATTATTAGCATTGAAAATAAACATTCACAATTTTGTAACGCAGATCAGTTGTTCACAGACATTAACATGTATGCAAGCGAGGAAATACATAAAACATTTTTGGACGTACAGTTGACGCAGGTGCTCATATGCACTACATATCAATAAAAAAATGGTATTCACTTTCAATATATCCATAGGAACACATTTCACATAGTCTTTGATTTTCTTTCTACCTATCTATCAGTTTCTATTTTAGGCGATGTGAGCAACATCTTAACCATGTTAAAGCCACACAAAACTTAATAGTAGTGATCAACCAATATATGGACCAGCTCCCAAAATGGGTCAAAATAAGGAATATGAAAAGGTTCTAGAGTCTAGTGATAAGGAATCATGCTAATCTAACTTATCATCTACAAAACAAAGATGACTTGAATTATTGACTTACAGTTAACAAAATTCTCACTGAGATTTAGTTTTTTAGTAAAATGAGTAAGCCTGAATTGCCAAGGTCGAAGGACTAAATACACCAGACACGATTTGTTTCTAATTTCGGGAATAGAATTCAAAGGCATGACCAGTGGTCAAAGGGCAAATCATGGTCATGATTATCATGATTACAACTACCACTTTGCCCTTAACTGTAAAAATGGATGAAAACTGTCCTTATTTGGCTTTTGTAAACATTATCATAAGGTTATACTTCTACTAAATATCAGTTTCACATAACAAAATACACACAATAATGGCAGATGACTGATAAACATTCCAATTATATTAAAGTACTCACGGAAATGAAAAAAAATGTTTTTTCGATCTCAGATTTTAAATAAATGCAGTTAATATACAAAATATATAAATATTCAAACAACTCAATTAGTACTCAAAGGTTTTTATGTCTTTTTACACGTAAAAGTGTGTAAAAATATGAACAAAACAGACTATTGTGAAACTGAGCATAACCAGGTGTTAGTAGATCAAGGTGAATGTCCATGACCTATGCTTGAAACCCACGTGCATGTGATTTGTCAGTGGTTAGTATTTTGTGAGTGGCATTGTGGGATAGTGAATCATCGTCAAAATATCAGAACGTAAATGTAACATATTCCCTTCTCAAACAACAATTTACATGTCATTATTATTATGTACATAAACATAGCTTTTACTTTTATTGTTGTTTTGATAACTTTTTTCCAGGCTAATTTGCATAATGCCTATAGCCTGTTTCTGCCATGTCAATTTGGACTTAGTTTTATTTTTGAATGTTAAAAGTGCCTACAAATTACCTCCTGTAAAGTACATTTTGTATTGAGCAACGAGATAAAACTAGCAAATCCAGACTAGTACTTTTCCAGTTGTTTTGTTATTTCGTATTTACATCTACGTAATGCTTTGTGTCAATTATTAAATCCAGCAAAACATATTTTTTTCATTTCCATGAGTACTTAAGCTCATGGTGACCTATGTACCTTCCAACACATCAAGAGCCACATTCAGAGCAGCATGAAGTGGTGTATCATCAGGATGTGAGGTGATGGTTGCAGGAGATACACCAAGTACTATCAACCGCATGACGATATCATATTCTTTCTTCAAAAAGGCTGACTGGAGAGCGTCTTTGCTTTTCTTCTCTTTGGTGACATCAGCTCCATGGTTTTGTAACAGATTTATCAGCTTCAGTTTGAGAGAAGACTTTTCACTGCTCATTGTCAGTAAGGATACTGATATATACTTCCCAAAGGCCTTTGGCAGTAGATGGATCTTATAAAGTTCTATGGCATTGTCCAAGTGTTGCCACCGTCCCTTTTTGGCAAACCCCTCAATGATCGTTCTCATATGACTGGACTTGAGTCTTTGCAAGGGAGCTGGTAGCACTGAAACATGTTGATAGCAGTGCCTAAACAGGAGCTTGTATAGTTTTCAATAACTAACAACATATTAATTAACTGGAAGACATTGGTGTAAACTAGTGGTTAAATTGTCTAACCAGAAACCTGGGTTTTATTCTCTAATGGGAACAATGAGATAAAACGATTTCTACAAGTTGAATAAAATCATTCGTTCACTCATCTGTATGTATCTTCTGCTATGTATATGTTTAGTACTTGTAGCCATCAGTGACATAATGTTATTACATACCATTTACCTGCAGTGACATTTTTCGTGATATTGCTCAATATTACTAGCCACCTTACTCTTATATGTACAAATGCTTACAACAGTTACTTATACAACATACTTATCTTTTTCATTTCTAAATTGTATATGGGGACGTATGAGTACATGCTTAAATCTTTATAATAGGAATAATTTAAAAAAGAAATACATACCTGTAGGGTCATTTTCCGCCAAGAAATATATCATCTTGTTGATACACGTCTTAATGACATCATGATGTCGGCGTGGATATTGTTCAATCAGTAGAAGTTTGATAAATATTTCAGCAGCACTTGCTATATCCCGCATAGCAATAGATGTTGCTTTTTGTATTAACTCATCACATTCATTGCAGTCATGACTTTCCTTGTGAAGTTTTGATTTCCCTCTAACAGTTTTCCTTTTGGAAAAATTGTTCGACGTTTCAAGACCTTCCCGAGAAGTAAAACCATGTTGTCTTCCAGAACCTGAAAATATACCATGTATGCCATATTTATATCTACAAATTAACAGAATTTTATGTTGACAAATGCTTGCAGATCACCCATACGATGAGTAATCATTCACACTATTATTCGCAAAGAAGCCTCAATATTGCATCTTCCAGAGACAAGAGAGTTAATTGACTATAAAAGTACAGTTTCCAACCTGACCAAACTAGGCTGGTATTATTGAGTTACATTTTGGCTGGACTAACAAGTCTATGCATAGTCCAATAAAATTCGCACAACGAAATCGAAATCTGGTTCGTAAACTATCGTGCAGATTTCGATCAATTGCAGGATTAGTAAAGCATGTGCACCGTCAACTCGTTGTCAACAGGCATTTTCCAAATCTGTTCATGTTTTTAATCAAGGTGATCGCGTGATTTGATGCACTATGCGATGTAAGATCCGTTTTATCACAATATAGATCTTGATTATTGATCAGATCGTCTAGACTGGGCGCCGATATTTTGTTTGAAACAAATGCAAGTGATGCGAGAGGTGGAATCTGATTGGTCCATAGGAGAGGCTTAGAAGGGACATAACTCATCATAACCACTAGTGGCCCTTCGATGGACCCCAGGAATTCCAGCCTAGTTCGGCAAGGGTGGAAACTAAACTTTTAAAGACGGTTAACTGAATTATTGCAAAATTGTTACCTTTTCTCTGTTTTGCTTGCTTTAGAATGGTACGTTTTTCTTTTGGATCAACATATGCTAAGGCAGTCTGTCTCTCATTGTTCAAGATATTTGGATTCACACCCTTCCGTATGAGGACAACTGCGACATCATGCTTCATATCAGGATTGCTTTCCATCATACAGGCTACGTGGAGAGCTGTGTTGCCAAAGTAGTCTTGGATGTTAAGTTCTTTTGAGGGGATTGCAATGTTGTCAATCAGCCAATTCAAAAGATCCATGTAACCTAATAAAAACATATTAATTAATTAGTTATTTCAGGAATGTGAGCATTTATAATACATCCTAACATTAAGTTAAGAATTGACTTCAACAGGTTCTGCGTTTATTAATCTTTTAAACCTAAAAACCAGTGTGAATACTTTTTACATCCGCATAGCACAATGTGTGGACACCCGCTTTTACGTTTATACCTCCATAAACACAAAAAACATGTTGAAGTCATTTATATAAATCACTTATCAAAAACTTCACAGATTGCTCATTTAATCATTAACACAAAAAATAATGTACACAACACGATAATACGAAAACGAAATACGAGGTGATGTGAGGCAAAAATCGGATTTCACGTGGAGTGATGCGAGAGGTGGAATCTGATTGGTCCATAGGAGAGGCGTTGTTCATGCACATGTGTGTGTGGCTGCTTGTGATAGCTCTGTAATGCTGGTTGCATAGTGCTAGTCCACCGAGATAACATTTTGCAGTTTAACATGGATGCCCAACACTGACACAGTATACTGACGCCCAGTCGAGCAGTCCTTGTTTTAGCACCTTAATGTCCAGCGCCAGGCAGGCTAAGAACAAGTACCACGTCTTAACTCTTAACGTCTTTTGGTATTATGCGGGGGGCAGGGATCGAACCACCGACCTTACTCTCTTGGCAGACGCTCTGTCGATTAGAATACGGAGATCTGCAGTGTTTACAAAAGAAAATCTAATCATTCACAGAAAATATTAGCTACATTAAAAGACACCTCAGATACATGTAACACTGAACGTAAGATAAAAAAACAACATTTAAGAATGTTAAGAAATAAACATTAAAAGAAATACCGCTTTCACATGCTATCACAACACCAGTTAGCAAGTAAATGTCGCACTGTCTCATGAAAAGTCTACGATGATCAGAGCCACTCTTGAGAAGTGTTAGCAGAAACTCTGCAATCCATGGATGACGACGATGATCCATGTTGCACAGAGGATGGAGGTCATACGTCTTTGCTGACAAACTTCTAGTTGAATTTGAGACCAATTCAGTTGCGATTTTGGCTGCTTTGAAATTATTTCTAATCAGTTTTTGGTATGCAAGTCGCATCCACACTTCTTCTCCCACATTTCCTATGCTGAGAAGCATATTTGCATAGACTCCTGAAATGAAAATGGGTATATCTGAGTTAACATTTACATGAAATAATTGCTTTCTGACCAAACGTATGGCCGATACAATTCCCTATTTTGACTTGTACCATATTTTCCTTTGTGTGTTAAGATCAATCCATGCGTGTAATGTTCAGCAGATAATCGAGACTGATTATTCCCTGATTATTCACCATTTTATAATTGTTTTATGTTTGTGATTAGAATTTGTTTAATTGATGAAAACCCAGAAAAGAACCAAGTCCAATTATGTCCAAAAATATATTTTTCACCTTTTCACTATCCCACATGACAAACGTTAGGGAAAACTTCACTACTTGATTCGTCAGATACTTGTCACTAAACATGATGACCAAAGATATAGTAACATCTCTGACTTCCAAGGTCCAGGCCAATTTGACAAAATAGGAAAGCAAATACCATCTGATGTTTCCTGAGAAAACAATATTTGATATGCTGGACTTCCTCATTGATAGCATCTACAAAGGAACTTGGAGGTAGGACATTTAGGCAAGAAGTAGGTATCCCCATGGGCACCAACTGTACTCCTCTACTTGCTGATCTGTCTCTTTATGCATGGGAGACGGAACATTAGCTCGGATTGGCAAACTCAGAAATTTAATTAAAGGATATGTATTAAACCTACCAGTAGGTAGATTGCTTAAAGCATTTAACATATCTGTGAGTGTGTTTTCCACCAGCTGCCTTTCTGCACCTGGGGTCAAATGTTTGTATGTTTCAGCATGTGCTTTGGCTGCATCTTCATATCTCTTCATAGCCATGAGTGATTTTGCTACCTTTTGATGTCCCTGTAACAAATATGTTTCCTTTATTAATGATAGCTAAATATTATTGTTAAACATGTCTGTAATGGTAACCCACCTATTTCACCACAATTTTCCAGAATGTATCCTTTAATCTATTTTATACCTTTTATACACCAAAATCCAAAATGGGTTCGGATCCTGGATGCTTTACCAAGAAAGTGTAATCCAAAGTATGACAAATGTTAAATATATGTGTGTCGAGATCTAATGATTATGCCCAAGTGTCATTTCCACAAATGTTTGAAAGCTGTAGACAAATCTACTTAACTGATCAAGACGTCTGAGGACAAAAGCTGCAACTAGAATATAACGTGACCTTATGTAAAAACAACGAATATTTCGACCTAAACATGACCTTGTCATTATTTTTTCATGCACATATGACGAGACTAACTGGGAGCAAGACATGCATTTCCTGGAAGGTTGTGTACGCACAATGGCAAAAGTTGTAAATAAAACCGTATTTACCCTAAACCAAGAAGAATCATAGGATACGCATTTACTTCCATCTTCAAGTGATTCTTTGAATAACTTCTTCCTGAAGTAGCACTCAGCTCTATTCCCATGCAGCATGGCCAGGTGGTGACTGTTTGTGTGCGTTCTGGTCTCCAATAGATTAAGGGCTTGGCTATAGAGAGCAATAGCCTTGTCGTAATTTCCTTTTCCAAATGCATCATTTCCTTGATTCTTCAGTGATTCTGATTCTGATTCTGCAAAAGCTATTACAGGAAATGTTAATTTCAATTTCACTCTTACAGCTGTTGAAGTGACCACTGAGAGTTTACTATTTATTTTTAGTCACAATACCTCCCACATCAATTTGACACGTTGAGGTTTAACTGAAATATATTCATTCATATAAAAATAAACAAATCTCTGAAAATGAGTATTTTCGTTGTTGTAGTTTGTTGTGTTGATTATATCAGTTATTAATGTGTATGAATGTGTATTTATGGAAAATGACAAGGGAGGCACATACCATTCTCAGCACGGAGTAAAACTGTGTGCAGTTCACTATCTTTGGGAAGTAAATCTGATGCGCATTTTCTTTCGTTGTTTAAAATCAGAGGTGTGAATTTGAAGTTCAGCAACATTTCTGTCAGCTGCAGTCCAACAGTGGAATCTCCACTGGGGTAGATTTCACATATTGTGTGATACAAGCTCCGCCCTTTCCCATTTTTTACTTCCTTGTCATCCAAGAACTGTGGACGTGTTTGCAGAATGTATTCCAGAAGAGATGTGCTATCTGGGAACACATGCAATTACAATTGTTGCAAGAAAATACAATACGATAAAAAACGATTGAATGCCTGTGAAGTTAATTGTACTTGCTTCAATATATTGATGAGCGTGCTTCTGGTATCCCGTGGAGTGTTGGCGTATTTACATTTGTAAGATGGAATACTTATTGATCTATATCATATGTGATAGTTACAAGCTTACATCTGCGAAATATAACGAAGAATCATCTTCCTTGTTTACTTACAGAGACTCTTCTTGTGAAATTGTTTAGACCAATATCAGTAATTAAGTGGAGGAATGTTAATTTCTTCATATGTGCCAATATTACAATACGTTACCAGATTGAGCGCATATCTTGATAGCAGCGTGAAGTGCTGTGTCATCGTCTGACGATTTCAGGCTTTCACAGTCTGCACCTCTTGATAGCAGCACTATAATCAGATCATTCATCCCGTCACATTCTGGTACCAGTAGAAACTGACTCAGGTCCACACCCTTTAAATTCAGTTTGATCGTCAATCTAGAGTTCAACTTGGATAGCTCCTGGATAAAGCTGTCAGTGTATCTGTTACCCAGTGGAGTAAAGTTTTCGCCCAGAATCAGCAGTTTGATTGCCTTGATAGATGAGGATGCCAGAAGTTCAGAAATAATGTTCGGCAGATGTTTGTTAACAGTATCAGCAATATCCAACAACGCTGCTCTAAATGGTATGCCTGAAACATATGAAGTTTTGATATGACAAAGGCTCGTTCTAAACCAGTTGGTGTCAGAGAAGCATGTATAGTGGCAATCGATTGTATTCCTTGTAAAATTATCAGACTGTTCATATAATGTTCACCGCTGTTTTGCCATTTACGCCCGAGGAATCTGTTTCAGATGATAATAGAGACCGGTTATTCGCTTGCATTTTGATATTAATCTATTTTATAATATATATGAACATCTATATATATGTAACAAACATGTATAACATTCACATTGTGATATTTTGTGATGAGGTACATATACAAAGTTGAATTAAAAAAAAACACCTCTGACATCCAGGTCAGGGAACTTCTCTATTATTCGAACAAGGAACTTCAGTTTGACATCTTCAGACATCTTTGCTTCATTTAGCCCCTGAATATAGATTTTCAGAGACTCTTTCATGTCACCGAGTGCCTCGTAGCATTGTCCCATCTTCCAATAGCCCTACAATATACATCAACTGCAGTTCTAGTAATGAAAACAGAAATGAAACTAACTAAAAACTAAAAAATCCAAAAAGTGAATATCCCAAAAACATTTAGGAATGTAAATGGCAGTGCCTCTCTCTCTCTCTCTCTCTCTCTCTCTCTCTCTCTCTCTCTCTCTCTCTCTCTCTCTCCTTACAAACCTTATAAAAGGTCCGATCGCACGTGACACACACATGAGCAGCAGTGAGTGCATCTTTGTACAGGCCAAGCCTGTAATTCACTAGAGAACAGTTGCTGTGTAGCTTGGCGAGCTCTTCATTCAGGCTTGGCACAGTTTCAGCTAAAGAAATAGCATTTTTGTACCACCTCAGGGCGTCATAGAGATTATTTTCCTCCATTGCTTCTTTTCCCTTATTCCGAAGAACTTCTATTTGCTTCTGGATATTTTTCTCTGAAACATGAGTAATTTGATTTCTGTTATAATTACTTCTCAGAACACACATTCTAATGTGAAGTTGTTAATGTAACAACGATATAATGAAAGATTTTATTACAGGTGTACAGTATCAAAGGTATTCAGAAAAAAAAATCAAGGCGAGATTCATTTGTGTACAGTCGCACCTATATAAAGAAATTCACAAAATAATCAAACGACATGAATTGTCCTACATGTTTCAGTTTTATCTTCAGGGAGAAAATACATATTATTATTATTATTATTATTATTATTATTATTATTATTATTATTGGGGGAGGTATAGGCCACCATATGTCATTAACGTTACCAGCTTCAGCCCCAGCCTGTGACAGTTTGACGTGAATAGCTGACTTTGGTTTAACATATTCAATGGGGGTTTTTCCTTCCGAGTCTCTGATATTCACAGATGCACCATACTTGAGTAGCAGGCAAAGAATTGCTTCCACATCATTTGCGTGAACCATTCCAGCTTTAGTCACAACGTGGAGTGCCGTATTCCCGTATCTGTCTTTATCATTAATCTCTCCCCGGACTTTGCAGCTCGTTTCCATGACATAGATGAGAAGGTCACTGCACCCTGTCAGAAAGCACATGCATCATCGTAAGTATTCGTTATCCAGTAAATACCTATAGGGATACTGCACACAATAACAGTGACAAAGCCCTTTCCGTCATCATAAGAAATATATACTCACACGCAAAAGAAACGCAAGTGGGTTTATGCAAATAGGTAACAAACCTGGAATCATAAATTGATACGAGTTTTAGCATGTAGTGACTCCTGATGATGTTATCAATATTTTTGGTTGCATTTTGGAAGCCCCGAGTAAAAACGCAACATCAAAAACGAATCGGCAAAACGCACCATTTCAATGAATATGTGGGTATTATGCACCCAATTCTCGCGAAATCGAAAATGCATGAACTGTCAAGAACTGTAGTGGGTATAAGACTGTAGCCGATTCTTGGACCTACCACTCCTTGGTCAACAATGCCACGCCTAACTCAAATTCAGAGAAACCAGGCTATCGGACGTTTTGAAGCTGGAGAGTCTATCCAAGATGTTGCCCGTCATTTTAACGTTAACATAACCACAATTTACCGTCTCCTGCATCGATACAATGCTACACAGACCACAGATGACCTTCCTCGGAGCGGTCGTCCTAGGGTCCCCACACCTCGACAAGATCGGCAGATTATCCGTCAGTACCAGCGACATCCGTTCCTAACTGCAAGTGAAAGTGCTCGACAGACCATAGGAACACATAATCGACACATCAGCCGGGTCACTGTGATCCGACGTCTCCGTTCCAACGACCTCAGATGTCGCCGACCAGCACGTTGTCCTGTTCTTCAACAACGGCATCGACAAGCACGACTTCAGTGAGCACAGGGCCATCACAATTAGCGTAATCGTGAGTGGAGGCGTGTCATCTTCTCTGATAAAGTCGCTTTTGTGTCTCCCATGGAGACGGAAGAGTCAGAATTTGGCGGCGTCGAGGTGATCGTTTCGCTGACAGAAACGTTGTGGAAAGGGATCCATGGGATGGACCTAGCGTCATGATATGGGCAGGGATTGGACTTAATGCGAGGCTGGGACCCATGTTCTTTCTGAATGTTGGTCAAGGCCGGGGACACGGCGGCACTGCTCAGCGGTATATCGACCAAGTGATCAGACCCCACGTTGTTCCAATTATTATACATCAACAACACATTTTGCCAGGAGGACAACGCTCGTCCCCATGTGGCCAGAGCTACCATTGCCTTTCTGCAACAACACAACATCCGTGTTCTACCGTGGCCAGCCCTCATCTCTGATCTGAACCCCATCGAACACTTGTAGGATGAGGTTCAAAGGCGTCTGCTTAATGTGCGCCCAGTCCCTACAACTGCCGATGAACTACGCCCAGCTGCTCTGGACGTGTACAGGAGGATCCCTAGGGCCTTCACAAATCGTCTGATCCACTCAATGTACAGGAGATGTGTGGCAGTGATCAATGCTAATGGTGGTCACACCAGGTATTGACTGACATTTTGGGTATTGACTCGAAACTGTGTAAGCCCTTAACATTTGAAAAAAAAAAAATTTATGTCATCTGCCTTATAATCCATTAAACTGTCTTCAGTCAAATTTTTGTCAATCTTGCCCTATTAGTATTTCTTGTCTTTATTGTTTGAAATAAATAACATGTCTACTGCATACTCGACTTGCGTTTCTTTTGCGTGTGAGTTTATATATACGAGTCCGACCGTGTCCTATATGCATACGTTGATGACTCAATGTCAAATGGTGATGACACCAGGTGTTTTCGAAAGGTCAGACCATCTCGTCCCACTGATGGCTCCGTCAAAGCAAGCGTCATTAATGCGTTATGTTTACTCAATGTTTAATATACATGACGACATATGTTAGCTACTGAATCTGAATGTCGGGTATATTTCAAATAATAAACTATGGAACTTATCTTTTACTGATACATTTCGGAAATATCAACGTCAGGTTCTTACAAAACGAAACAATACATATACAGTAAAAGTGTCGCGGCAAAATATGTCCGAGTTGAATATGGGATAAATACTGTATGTTACAACTGAACAAGCAAAACAGACGGCCGTCATATAGCTGGAATATTGCTGAGTGCGACGTTAAACAAAAAAAAACAAAAAAAATTACTCTGTCGATTGTATCTTACCTGTTCTCATTGATGTCTGGACGAGGGCGAAAGGAATGGGTTCATCAATAGCAATGGTTTCCACGCGGGAGCCTTTCTTCAAGATCTGTATGGCTAGTGGAATACCCCAGGTCTTGAGATCAAGGTCACTTTGTCGTTGTAACAACCTAGAAACCTCAATGTTCTCTGTGGAAGCCTCGCTTGCTATTCCTTCAAGTGGAGACCTCTTGTCAATTGAAAACATGATGTAACAAATAGCTCGCCATTGATCCGTTGTAGCAAGAGCAGATATCACATCCGACCAAAAAGAAGAGGATCTAGGTAGTTCGATTCCCTCAAATATGCCAGCAGGGACTGTAAAAAGCAAAAGAAAATAATCAACCATCGCAGGAATAGATCAGTCACGTCCTTCTTAAATCAACTATTTCTAAACCATTACTTCGAGAATGTACCTAATTGCCTATGTGGTTAGACCCGTGAACATCCGGGTTAGAATAGGTCTTCAGCAACCCATGCTTGTCGTCAGAGGCGACTAACGGGATCGGGCGGTCCGGATCGCTGACGTAGTTGATGCATGTCATAGTATCCCAATTGCGTAAATCGGTGCTCATGATGTCAGTCACTGAATTGTCTAGTCCAGATTGAGTATTTACAGACCGCCGCCATTAAGCTGGAATATTGCTGAGTGCAGCGTTAAACAACAAGCAAATAAACAAATCAATTGCGTATAACGATGCTCTTGATGTCAGTCACTGGAATGTCTGGTCCAGATTCGAATATTTGCAAAACGCCATCATATAGCTGTAATATTACGGTGTTAAACAAACACACATACATCGAATTATCTCCTGTCGCGACAAACCAAACGACGTTAAAAGATGGTACTTTTTGTTACCAGGCCTGACGATCGACATTAAGGACTGTACACACACACACACACACACACACACACACACACACACACACACACACACACACACACACACACACACACTGTAATAGTTAACAAGAACAAAAGCGCTGGATTAAACTACACAAAATGTTACACCAATGTCAGAAATGTCCCAATGACGTTGTATCCTTACAATTTACTAATGGAGCAACCGTAGACAATGCCGCAAAGTAATCTATTTTCTCTTCATGGGTTGTGCAGAAGGTCCTTATTCCTTCGAAAAGGCAGCCACAACACTGTGGTAGATTCCCGCTGTCCCTCAGGCCAATGGCATGTTGTAACATCAACTGTATTAATGTGAACATGTAAACTTACTGACACAAATTATGAAATGGCTTTGTTCCAGTCCCATTGTCATTGTCGAGTGTAAGAAACGTGGAATTGATTGTTCTTAATATATATCCTCGTACTTAGAGGATGAAGAAAAATAACGGTACAGGTTTTCCTCCAACATCTTTCATTGATATCCAGAAATACAGTGATTTTGACGTCATGTTTCTGTGACAGTATCAGAGTCATCTCCGCTTTAACATTTATAGGCAGCTTTTCTAATACATTTTCCTCCTTAAGGTTTCTAAACACTTTATCGCCTGATGATATTTGATAGCAGAACTCCAAACCAGTTATAGATTTCTTGTTGAAACTTGCCAAAAAAGATCAGTCTAGTTGGGAACTGATGTCTTTTGATGATTTTTGTGTGTTTTGTTTTCATGATGTTTCATGATAAAAACAAGTTGTTTTTTGTTTCCGGAGGAGAACTCCAAAACCGTTAAGTATTTCTAAATGAAACTTGCTATATAGATCGGTCTAGTGGTGAACTGATGCCTTGGGATAATATGGGATTTTTGGTGTTAGTTTTTCGTGTTTTCATGACAAGTTTGACTATACTTACAGTTGTTTCTCCACTGAACTGAATGTATCCAATGGCAATAAACCAACAGTGTAAGTGTAAGTAACCCAACTCCATTTCCGACTTGAACTAGACCGAGGGGACATGTTATCTCCTGATGACTCTTGTTAGTTGTTTGTGGTGCATTCCGGCCTCCCCATCTAATGTTCTTTGTACTCTTCCCATATATATTAGACCCGTGAAGGTCCGGGGTAAAATAGATCTTCAGCAACCAATGCTTGCCGTAAAGGGTGACTATGCTTGTCGTAAAGGGCGACTAACGGGATCGGGGTTGATACATGTCATCGTATCCCAATTGCCTTGATCGATGCTTATATTAACGTCAATCACTGGATTGTCTGCTCCAGACTCGCTTATTTACAGACCGCCGTCATATAGCTGTAATATTGCTGTGTCCGGCGTTAAACAACAAACCAAACCAAACCCTATATATATTACCAATATTACACATTCAACATAACATTCCATAATGGAGCGTACCCAGAATGTTTTGTTGTTGAAGTTCACCCTGTTGTCTTCTAGGATCAACGCACAGGTTCCATAATTTCACATGTTAAATATATTCGTGTCAGTTCTGCTGAGTCAAATAGAATTAAAATTAAATTATTCCTGTTGTGTTAAGTGTCATAAGGATAACGTAAGGAGGAAAGTTTCATCGTGTAATATTGCCCATCACTCAAATGTGAGGCGTATAAATGTTTGACTGTCATGAACTTCAACGCTATTTATAGAGCGGATGACCCTGAAACGTTGACGTCAATCACTGTGTCTCATCATGGTGAAGGAAACCTTGCGTGGTTTTTTTTCCTCATTCTGTGAACATATTTGAAATTGTACACGAGAAATGAACATTTTCCTTATTGTATGAGTTACGGGTGCTACCGGTAGAGCAGGACATGCTTTCCTTTTCGCTGATACTTGATGTCATACCTGCTTTTCAGAGACACTTTGACATAAATTTCACCACTATTTTACCGGTTAGACCCAAAGGAATCGACCTATGTACAATGCAGCAGAATATTCAGCGATGTTGAAGCATAGCTGTATTCGGAGGTTTCGATATTATAACGATATTGTATAACGAGTTATCTCACTTGAAAATACCTTAGCCACTACTTGTTTCTCATTAGATGCCATGGTGATTATTTGACCTCGTCTCCAGTTCTGGGATATTTCACGGCATCATCATCATCGTGACTGTTCTGAAATAAATAAATACACAAGTCTACACATACAATATATAATAGTATGCATTCTAACATGGTCTGTGCTGCAATGAAAAGGCTGACAGCTGACAGTTGAATGAACGATATATCCGACCTGGTCCTCTCTGTGAAATCAAATATAGTTGATTCTTCGAACTATGGTTGAATTAAATCCATGGGGATAACAACTGAAATTTCAAAATTGCAATATCTGAGTACCAAATCCCAGATCCGCCAAAATATACTTTTGTAGTACTTTGCCTCTTTTCAAGGGTTTCACCAAAGAGGTAAACTTTCTCCCCACACGCCAGGGTATGACTGACATTCTGTTCAAAGCGGAGTCAATCACAACTCAAACACTCAATGTGAGACAAGAATACATCTCCGTGTCCGCCCTACTACCTCAGCTCGGAAGGCGGGATTTCAGTGGCAGAAACGATCCCAAGTTCTCAGGATAAAGCGTTTGCCCATCACGCTGAAAACCCGGGCTCGATTCCCAACAAGAGCGCACTATATGATGCCCATTTTGGGTGTGCCCATGTCCAGACAACCATGGAGTACTGGGGACATACAACCATGAAGTACTTAGAACAGACAACCATTGAGTACTGGGGACATACAGCCATGTAGCGCTGGGGATCTACAACCATGGAGTGCTGGGGACCTACAACCATGAAGTACTTAGAACAGACAACCATGGATGGGGACATACAGCCATGAAGCGCTGGGGATCTACAACCATGGAATACTGGGGACCTACAACCATGGAGTGCTGGGGACCTCCAACCATGAAGTACTTAGAACAGACAACCATGGAGTACTGGGGACATACAGCCATGTAGCGCTGGCGATCTACAACCATGGAATACTGGGGACCTACAACCATGGAGTGCTGGGGACCTACAACCATGAAGTACTTAGAACAGACAACCATGGAGTATTGGCGACATACAGCCATGTAGCACTGGGCATCTACAACCATGGAATACTGGGGACCTACAACCATGGAGTGCTGGGGATCTACAACCATGGAGTACTGGGGACCTACAAGCATGGAGTACTGGGGACCTACAGCCATGGAATACTGGGGACATACAGCCATGGAGTACTGGGGACCTACAACCATGGAGTGCTGGGGACCTACAACCATGAAGTACTTAGAACAGACAACCATGGCGTAATGGGGAAAGACAACCATGGGGTACTGACGACCTACAGCCATGGAGTACCTCGGACAGTCAACCACGGAGTACTTGGGAAAGACAACTATGGAATAATGGAGTCCGACACAGCCTTGGGGTACTAGGGCCATACCACTATGGGGTACTTTGAACACACAACCATGGGGTACTGTTGACCTACAACCATGTAGTACTGGGGACCTACAAGCATGGAGTACTGAGGACATGTAGGTGCAACCAACCATTGAATACATCAGTGGGGTACTGGGACCTACAACCGTGGAATACTGGAGACAGAAACCCATGGAATACTGGGGACCTACAAGCATTGAGTGTTGGGGATCTACAACCATGAAATACTGGGGACATACAGCCATGGAGTACTGGGGGCCTACAAGCATGGAGTACTGGGGATATACAAGCATGGAGTACTGGGGACCTACAACCATGGCGTGCTGGGGACCTACAAGCATGGAGTACTGGGGACCTACAAGCATGCAATACTGGGGACATACAGCCATGGAGTACTGGGGACCTACAGCCATGGAATACTGGGGACATACAGCCATGGAGTACTGGGGACCTACAACCATGGAGTACTAGGGACCTACAACCATGCAGTGCTTAGACCGACAACCATGGCGTAATGGGGAAAGACAACCATGGAGTGCTGGGGACCTACAGCCATGGAGTACCACGGACAGACAACCACGGTTCTTGGGAAAGACAACTAAGGAATAATGGGGACATACCACTTTGGGGTACTTGGAACACACAACCATGGGGTACTGTTGACCTATAACCATGCAGTACTTGGGACCTACAACCATGGAGGACATGTAGGTGCAACAAAGATTGTAAACCGCCCCGTAACAGATAGTATACACTCGAACATTGAATTTGATATAATAAAATACGTTCTCCAAACGTTATTAGGCTGAAACAGATACTCATTGATATGATGCATGTACACTCGCCCATGATACCCGTATCCTATACATCCCCATCGAATAAACATTTATTTAGCCAACATCACACACACTTTCGTTTGCCCAACAGTTTCTCTTTGATGATGTTTTTTTTTTAGATACAACAAAAACAACCCCTAGTTTGAGGAGTACTCCTCCATGTACTAGTACTGCTACTAATACTATCACTACTACTAATACTGCTACTACTACTCCTAAAACTACTACTGTCACTAGCCCTACTGCTACTACTACTCCTACAACTACTTCTACTCCTACAACTACTACTGTCACTAGCCTACTGCTGCTACTACTCCTACAACTACTGTCACTTGCCCTACTGCTACTCCTACAACTACTACTGTCACTAGCCCTACTGCTACTACTACTCCTACAACTACTACTGTCACTAGCCCTACTGCTACTACTACTGCTGCTGTTGATACTACGCAATTATATGTACTATCTTCGTCTGCTTTTCCCATATTTATTCCCTCTGCGAATGCTACAACCCCCATATATTATATTCCAACATCTTCTAATTTTCTTACTACCCCTGAAAGTGACAATGATGATATTGATAATGTTGGCGATCTCGAGACAGTGGCGGGAAGTGTAACAGGTACAATATTACTAATAATTATTGTTTTATTCTTTACCTATCGAAAGTGGCAAAAACATAGACGAAGTATTAACACCCGTCAGAATAATTACCATATTGATAACTCAATATACCAAGGTACCACTCAGTGTCTTGAAAGTACTGTTTGATATACGTGTATTTATTACAAGCTACTTTTACTATTTCCCATCTCACTTTTTACCCCTTTCTTTCAGAGCATCTTGAAAGTCTCGTGAAGGCTACTCTGTCTCTCATTGTGATGTTGATGTTCGTCACAGCGTCGAGTATTGTTTTCCGAACAATACATAGCAGACACGAGGGCGGAAGCCTAGAGCGACAACTCAGGAGTAGTCAAGTTTCTCAACCATAGGACAGAGTTTTAGGGTTTTTTTCTTCTTTTTTTTCTAAAGCAGAGGACTGTTTGTTTTAGTGTATGGTCAGAGGATAGTTTTTTTTCTCAAGCGGAGGACTTTTTAGTGTATGTTCTTTTTTCTTAAGCGGAGGACTTTTTAGTGAATGTTCAACCCTGTGTTCCTTGGTAAAATAAATAGTGATCTTTAACTTGTTATAGCTCTCTCGAATTGCCTGTTACCATGTACACTTTGGGACATATTGTGCTCTGTTGGTTGAGTCAGACAGAGATTACCAGTGTCTAGCTTGCAACAGCTGATTGAAATGTCGCCTCTATGAGATGCTGTGTGAATCATAAGACGATAGAGTACGCGATTTCCTTGTGCACGATCTCCCGAAGAGTCTCCCTTCATAAAGTTATTTAGTAAGACATCTTAAACAAAAGCAACACATCTTTTACAAATATAGCTTTCATACATATATACTAGACAAATAAAGTTCGGGGATAATCTGAAGTATGTGATAGAATGTTGTTCAGCCTTTGTTTGGATAATTAAATGTATAAAATGACAATCAGAATGAACAACGCTTTCTTTTGCTGTTTTTTTATATTACACTTTTTAATGTTGTGTGAGCTCTAATAGACATAATATATTAAAAATATGTTGTACGTAGTGTTGTCATTTTATACCTCTAGGAGGCAGACAGTGTAATGTTCTGCAAACACTATCAGCTGGGGTTGATAAACATTACCAGTTTCGGGTTGCAGCAGTTCCATTTACTTTTGTCGGGGTCATGTGATTGATGCGGTCGGTGTAACACACCCATTATAGCAAGGACCAAAGTTAGGGATACTCAGAAGTGTACGCGACGCTTCATTCATAGGTCACGAGATCCACAAATCTTGTCTTACACAAACACGACGCAAAACAAAATATTCAAGTTCAATCTTGGTTTTATTGATTTTGTAACAATGTAATTCAGCTTTTATTTTCCTTCCTTTCTTCATGTGTCGTCACTTGTGGTAGCATCATCTTACTGGAAATAAAATTACACAATAAATACAACCTGAATGTAAATATTGATTTTTGAAACAGACTATAGCAAATCCGGCGAGGGGTTCCTGTGTTTAAGCGTGACGTTAAGAGCCTAACCTCGCAAGCGAAAGCCGCTATAGTTTGTATCATAAATGTATGCGTGTTAGTTGACAATATTTGCAAAGCCTGGACTGTTTTAATCCTCAATCTGACATAGAACCTAGCAGCAATAGTCTGTTAATACTTTATAACAGATAAGTAGAGTATGAAAATGGTACATTGTTCCTACCATTCGCTCTAGACTCTAAATGTATCAGGCGAACATTCTACAATTGGACATGCATGTACTTGTATACTCATCAAAAGAAGTAAGGGAACATGTACCGATATGTTTGCAGATAAAAACAATAAGGAACAGAAAATATTTGATTTATTAAAACATCCACCTTATGATTTCTACATTACTCATTATAAGTCGTATCTGAGTTATATAAATGCAACATAAACACCATATTAATATATGCATTACAAGATATATTTGATTTATTAAATGTCCACCTTATGATTTCTACATTACTCATTATAAGTCATATTTGAGTTATATAAATACAACATAAACACCATATTAATATATGCATTACAAGATATATTTGATTTATTAAATGTCCACCTTATGATTTCTACATTACTCATTATAAGTCATATTTGAGTTATATAAATACAACATAAACACCATATTAATATATGCATTACAAGATATATTTGATTTATTAAATGTCCACCTTGTCATTTCTACATTACTCATTATACGTCATACTTTGTGTTATATAAATACAAC